TCTCATGTCTCAGCAGAATCCATGCCACCTGGTAAGGTAAAATCCTTCGTCAAGTGGTCCGATCTTAATCTTTCATCCACTTTCCTCCTTTTTGGGCGTTCCTTATGCTCAAGGCTGCATCCCCCCTTTAGATATACGATTTCAGGATCGGGGTCTAATCGCCAAAGACTTAACATTTATCATATGGCATGTGTCAATAAATGTTCTTTAATGAAGTCTCTCCTGATTGAAATGGAGCTCAGCGCAAGTTCTTTCAAGAAGACTGGTATACATTTACTCCGCAGCTGCTTATAATCATCTCATCACAGGCTTCCTGCTAACCTATTACATTCACCTCAATCTCAGCAGCCAATCATTGTGCTGCAGCCAAACTTTAAAATGGTTCTCCTCTCTCCTGCAATCAGCTGTGATTTCAGGTGTTCATGCTGCCGACCACCTCCTCCCCATCCATCTCTCCTGATTGAACTGCCTGTAAATTATTTTGACTGTTTCCCAACCTTGTTATTTATTATCTATTAATTTGAATTGTCTTTTTTCAGTCTATGTATTGTCTACTGTTAAGCCATATAATAGTGTTTCTTTTGCAGGTGTTCTGTCTCCTAACTCTTACTCTGCTATACCCCCACACACCAAAACAATAAAAACATTTGAATTAACTCTACTTTTATTTTAATAGAGCAACAAATACTACACTGTTTTGAGCTTGTAAAAATCGATGCACAAGGTCCACTGAAAAAAACCAAAAAAACCATTTATTTACACACACAATCAAAACAGTTTGTAACTGAGCAGCAGTAAGGGGTTTAGTGCCTTGCTCAAGGGCATTTCAGAGGTCTTTATGTCATGTGATCAAAGTTACAAACGTATGTAAAGACAATACAACTGGGTTACTCCATCTGGTGGTGAGACCAAGAGATGCAGGAAATGCATTAATTTAATTCAAAAACACATTCAATTCAGTAGAGACCTCATTTCGATTATGTCTGAGTAAAACAATAAAACTCAATGCATCAAGAAACAAGAGTAATAAACGTGAATGGAAAAGGCTTTAGAAAGTACAAATCAATAAAATTATAAAAACCTGAAATAATATTTAAAGACAATTAGTCCACCAAAACAAGAACAACTGAAAGTGAAAAACGTTTTTAATTGAACATTTTTAGATTTAACCTGATTTAAACTTTAGATTGTTCTGCATGTTATTCTAGGTTGCAGGTGAACAAAAGGGAGCATGATTTTCCAAGCTCAGTAAAACAGACGCCACCGGAAACTTAATCCTATTGTTTGAGCGAGTTTATAAGGGTCAAATTAAAAGACATTAACAACATGTAATGTAAGAGGGTAAAAAGACACTAAGGGCAGTATAAATAAATAAAACCATCATGCCTCACAGAGAAAGAGGCCACCCAACCTTAGCATACAGCTCACAATGAAGAGTATCATATTCCTATATCTCCATTAATACATCTTTGTGCAGAGTCATATTCAGAATCCGAGGGCTTCAGAGTTGCTGCTGAAGCATGCATGAATAAAATGTCATCATAATCAAAAACTGATTAGAAAGTTTACTCATTAAGCTTTCTTCTACAATGCAGAAGAAAACATGGTTTGTTCATATGGAAAAAATGCCTTTGCCTTTCATATGCTCAAACGTTAATCAAATGGTATTTAAAAGTCCCCCGCTCAATCCAAACAATGTCCAAGATATTTTTACTCCTTGACTTTTTCAATATTTGTACAATAATTAATGGGTATTAAGAGATCATAATCCATATAGATGTAAAGGTTATGAAAGCTCTCGGAAAATAATCTATGTCACATTATTCTACAAACACAGTTATGTTATAGAGTGGGCATCCAAGCACGCACGCACGCACGCACGCACGCACGCACGCACGCACGCACACACACACACACACTGTCCGTTTTGAGGTAGTATGGTCTCAGTGCATCTTCACCTCCTGTGTCTGTAGCGTTGAGATTGTTGAAGTAACAGCCAGAGAAACAGAGCCAACAGCACGCTGAGTGCGAAAAATAGACAAATGTATACCACCATGCTCCATCCCCAACCTGCAACCAAAAGAGGCACGCCATTCACCTGCACAACCTTTCCCGGGATAGACATGCCAGTATCAGTATGCAATGGAAACAGAGGTCAAAGGTCAAAATTAGGTTTCTCAAGATCGTTTTCTGACATCTAATAGAGGAGAATTACAATTCCAGTGAAGTGAATATAGTTCAGTTGTCCACAAGTGGATAATTCCTTATCTTCGAGGACCACAATCATAGAGTGATTTCATCAGCTGTTCCAAAAATATTCCGTGGCAGGAAAGAGTGTAATCAAGTTTCTTTCAGGTCAAATAGATTTCATGGCAAAGATCTTGATTGAAGCAACATTTATCAAAGTAGTGTTATTTCCAGGGTGACGATGAATATCCTGTGAGCTGCTGAGCATCCATACTCATCAATGGTTCTCTGAAGGCTTTATCCACATTTGCAAAGTAATCAGAGAAAACAGAATGAAATATTTTTGCTTCCCTCCTCTGAAATGTTCTACAGACCTCTGCCTCACATGCTTGTCCGGCTTTTTAACCACCAACAAATACTCTATTTAAACCCCTGGCCTAGACAGACATATTGACATGTAGACGCGTAGAATAAATCAACAGCTACCCATATTCCCCTGACCTATGAACCCATAAACCCACAGGCTTACTCTTTCTATTCTGCGCGCACACACACACACACACACACACACACACACACACACACACACACACACACACACACACACACACACACACCACACACACACACACACACACACACACACACACACACACACAACACACACACAACACACACACACACACACACACAACACACAACACACACACACTTCGCTGACCTCAACCTGCAGGTATGAATAATCAATACCTTTTGGGACTTTCTTTCTTCAGTTGTGATTAAAACATATATACAAAGTCGAACCCTGAATAAATAAATCATGAAGCTACAGAACAACACTGGTTTGCATTTTCAAAAAATCTATAAAAATGGCCTTCGGACACATGTAATATATACGACATGATGTTTAGAGGGACACATGAGCAAATTGATTTCCACATGCATGTCAGAGAAATGTTGATGTGTTTGAAAATATCTTTTGAGTTATGGTCTTGAAGGCTTCCATAACTTTCAGAAAGAAGTAGTTGAATTAGCATATCTCAAACCTAGTTTTGACAATAATAGAAAGGGACACATCTCAAAGGAGAGGGTGATCCCATTCCAACCTAACATAGAGTCTAATTTAGTAAAAAAAAAAAGGTTATTTTCTCTGCATATATTTTCTCCAAAGAGCCTTTTAATGTACAGCTGCTTTTTCAAGCTGTAAATTATTAAACATGTGTTTTATCAGTGTGAGATGGCGGTGCTGGGGATTTCTTCACGTTATAACCATCATGCTAGTGAAAGCAAGTAGGTTACAGTGCCACCAGGAGGAAGTAGGAGGGTAAGCCACAACCTGAAATAAAACAGACGGGAAAAACACAAAGCATGTATTTACAGGTTCTCATTCTCACTAACATGGACTCGTACCAATACAAACAACCAGGTGCCTACACAGACAGGTGCAGCATAAACTAACAGAAACCACAACATGAACAAACAGGTGCAGAACAACTGGGAAAACAGGACACACTGAAGTAATATCCTCCTGGAAAAATCTAGAAAATGTACTCAATAAGTAACTGTGAGCAGTGAAGTGTCCCTCAAACTCATGAAGTGTCCAAATCTAAGATGGGTGAATATGGATGGAATATACAACTGCATTTAATATGGATGGAATATACAACTGCATTTAATACTCTATACTGTATACAGTACAGAGTATTAAATGCAGTTGTATATACTGTACAGTATAGTGCTTTAAGTTGGACATCCATTTGTTATTGGATTTCAGTGTTTTTTCTATTTATATTGCTGTCATGTGACCCAATGTCTCCAATTCAACGTAGTATTGTATTACTACACTAGACAAGGAAGGAATATAGAAATTATTTTATGAAAATTCAGCAGTTTATTGAAAAGTCTCATTTGTTTTCAAAACCCTTCCATGTAATCTGACCTAATTAAATTACTCAAACATCAATACAGCATTATAGTACTTAACTTGCAAGTAGGACATGCCTATTTGTACATGTTTATAGTGTTTTTCTATTTAATATGAATATTGTTGTAACAATTCTGAAGTTGTTTTTTATTGAAAAGCCACATTATGTTCAATAAACTATGTGACCCATGACTCCAAATCAATGCAGTATTCTATTACTACACTGGACAAATAGAACACAACTCTTGTTATTGGATTTTAGTGCTTCTTATATTTAATTTCAGTATTTTTTATAAAAGAGCAGACGTTTTTTAATTTATTTAATAGCTTTCATATCATGTGACCCGATGACTCCAAATCAATGCATAATTGTATGGCTACACTTGACACTTAGGGCACGTTTCTTATAGAATATTATATATCTTGCATTATTCCAACTAACATCTCCCTGTGTTATAATTAGCAGATTAACATTTTCAATGTTACTGTTTTGTTTGTGTTGCATTGTAAGGCTAAGTAGCATTGAACTTGCACTTATATGCTATATTACTAATATAAAGTTAAATATGTCATCCCTTGTGGTATTCACTTAATTTCTGTTAAAGTATATTGAATTGAATTGATTTACTTCACTTCTTTCTTTCTAGAAATAACTTGATTCGACCAGAGTGATCTCATATTGAGTGGTGGGATTTAGCTTAAATATTTTTCTAATAGGGATGTATCTTTTTCCAGGGTGTTGCTACACATCACAACGTGTTACAATATAAATGTAGAGTTGGAAATAACTTTAATATGGCAAAGAATGCCGGCAGAATATGAACTCCTCCGGTTATGTTATCTTAGCCCACCCCCCTGTCTACCGGTAAGTGGTATGACCGGCAGCATAAAGTATGGGAACGCTGTGTAACTTCCACTGACATCAGCAGAAACCGGCACAGCGAGCAGACACACAGTTCACCGAGACACACCGAAACAAAGCGAAAATGGAGTGGACCCCAATGGAAATCAACCCCGAGGTAAGGGTAAATAACTCTGTGTTGTTTGTAAACCGTAACGTTTTCACGGACGAAATATTCACTTGTGGTTTCTGTTTGTTTTGTTTCTTCAGATGCTGAACAAGGTAACTAACAACGGTTGGTGACGTAAACGTTAACGTTTTTTGATTCAGCCGTCAGGTAAGTTAATATTAGCTAGCTCCTTATAAAGGCAGTTTAACCGTTTGTGAGACGAACGTTAAAACCACGTTGCAGACACGCCATTAAAACAAAGATAATATGGCGAACGTGAACTGTAACGTGAAAGGTAAATGTGGTAGTCATGTAGAAAACAACAGGAGACGCTTTTATCTGATTTCATGAGCGGGCAGCAATCATCTCCAGGTGTCTAGGCTACAGGGTGTGGTCTGGCTGGAGCAGCACAACGCAGCATCTTCCCTCAGAGGGGATCATGTATACATCTCGCATCTGAAACATCAACTCTTTCACCTCCATTTGAGCTATCGTGTTGTGTTTATTTTCCTTGCTGTGTGTTCCAGATGATGAGCAAGCTAGGCGTGGGTGAGAACTGGCGATTTGTTGACGTGCTGGGGCTGGAGAGTGAGCAACTGTCCGCCGTCCCAAAGCCATGCTGTGCCCTGATGCTGCTCTTCCCACTGACACAACAGGTAATAATCGGGTGGTGGCGACTACTTCCTGGAAGCGAAGGGTGGGGTGGGGTGAGTCTGAGATGCAGGGAGGGCATGGATGAGAGGGAGGAAAGGGCTGGTTTATAATGGGTAGAATAGGATATGCTCGGATGATGTGAAGAACATGAATCAGCTTATGCTTACCCTTTTTTCATCCTTTCATAACTACATTGTATTATTCTCGGATTTGATTGTATTATTTCATTATGTTTTTCCTCTCTTAAACCCTTTATTATACCAACCCTTCATTGGAGCCAGGCCCAACAGCTGAAATATACCAACAAATAACAATTAATATCATTTTCAACTGAACAAACTTATCAATTGCTCTACAAATTAGGACACACATATTGTGAAAAATCACAATTTTCTTGAGAGATTAAGAGGTGTATTCAAATGCCTTGTTTATTTCAAAACAAGTAAATATATAATGAGAACAATCCTTTAATTAGTTAAATGTTAATTTAAGATAATTTGCTTTATAAATGACTGAATTAAGTCATTGATCTTAATACAAATGCACATTTGAAGTGGCATATTTTTGCTTCACCCTGGGTTTGCATGGGCAGAAGACCATGACCATACTCCTATCTGCCAAACATGCCCATACGTTATTTGTCTGTCTTGCAGCATGAGTCTTTCAGGAAGCAGCAGGCCGACAAGGTTGCAGATAGCTCTGAGGTTTATTTCCTGAAGCAGACGGCAGTTAATTCCTGTGGCACCATCGCCCTGCTGCATGCTGTGGCCAATAACAAGAGCAAGCTGACATTTGGTGAGTTCAGATCGCAACGGAACTGGTATTATAGTTAGTGCAAAACAACACAATTGTCTATATAGATATTACAAAATACTTATTTATAAAAGGTGCTCACTGCTGTCTGTCAGTATAAATGACTCGGCAGTTTATATTCCAAGTGCCAAGATTTGTTGTTTTAAATATAACCCATACCTAATTTAGTCTTACATTTATTTTAGTATAGAGACAAACAATGCCAAAATTACACCACATTTTGTTAAAACTAAAAATCTAATTTAGAAGAACGGTGGAAAATCGTCATTCTAGACAGTGATGTGGGAACAACTCCGTAAGTAAGGTGTAGACCAGTATAATAATTATATAATCTGTATTACTAGTAGTGTAATTAAGTGCGGCAGGTTGTGATTTGAATTAGGGATCAATTAATTTATTACGTTTGATGCTGTTTTGGGTCTCTTCAGAAAGTGACTCTGCCCTGAAGAAGTTTCTAGATGAGACTGCAAACATGTCTGCTGATGACCGTGCCAAACATCTGGAGAAGAACCAGGTGAGATAAACATACACACTGTGGAAGCTGCTTATGTTCTTCTGTTGGCTGAATTCAAAAGAATAGAGATTTGGATGGATACATGTTGAAGTATTTCAAATTACTCGTCATCAAATAACACCTCAACTGCATTTACTACATTTAAACAAACAAATGTAAGCCCAAATAAAACACCCAATTTCTGACATTTCTGTTAGTACCTACATGTTTTGTTTTACCCACTTGGGGGTGGCAGACATCGCTAAATCTCTGTCACTAAGGCCAGCCTGATAGCGGCTTTAAACATTCTTGAATTTTGTTACACAATGAACGATTACAAATGTGTGCCATTTTTAAAAACTCAACATGTTATTATTTTGAAGTTTCATATCTGATTTTCATTTGAAACATCTGAACATGTGTATTTAAAAAAAAAAAAGAAAAAAAAAGATCAGTTTTAAAGGTATTAAACTGACACATGTTTGTTTCTCCTACAGGCAATCTATGAGGCTCACAATGAGGTTGCCGTGCAGGGCCAGTGCAGGGTAAGATATCCAAACGCAATATCCTCTACAGTAGGGCTGTGCAATTAATCGTATTTTAATCTCGATTTTGGCTTGCAACTATTACGAAAACAACGTAATAGAAATAAAACGATTATTTTTATTTTATTGTTTTTTCAGTTGAATTATACTTAAAGTTCAGGCTTATCAACTGTTAAAAATATACTGTTCACATATTTATTTATTCAATAAATGGATGTTTTCAAAGTAAATGGATAATCGTGATATCAATTATTGACCAAAATAATCGTGATTAGAGTTTTGCCATCATCGAGCAGCCCTACTCTACAGTACATATGGCCTACATTGCTAGCCACTTTTTAAGGTAGTAAATTTACAAAATTTGAATTATTCATTTGACACATGCCACAGTTGAAGAGATGCTAATCTGCAGTGTTTCCCCATACACTGATAACGCTGAATACAAAGAATAATTATCAGAAAAATACATACTTTTCAGTTTAACGTGTTTCCCAATATGCACTCTTTCTTTCTTGATAGTCCATGTGTGTGCCGTGTCTCTTATGTAACAATATTTACTCTGAATTAATTCCTCGTATCTTAATTTCCCAGCCGGAAGCTGACAAAGTCAACTTCCACTTTATTGCCTTTGTCAATGCAAATGGACAACTTCATGAATTTGGTAAGCATTTCAACTCCTTATGCACACTCTTCAATGTGTTTTTAATTTTTTTTATGTCTTTGATCCTAAAATATATGATCTGTTTTTTAAGATGGAAGAATGAATGGACCAGTGAAGCATGGAGATACCAAAGATGGGTCATTTATTACGGTAGGCAAAACTATAACCATTTACATTGTGTGTCCATTCTGGATTTGTTGGTGGTTTGTCATTGTGAGCCCAGTTCCTTTTATGCGTGTGATCTGTGATGAGTCATGGTATTAGACTGGAATAGGGAGTGGCCATTTCCGAGTATCTTGACTCAATCAATAAACTTGGCTAATGCACGCTCTCACATCTCCTACAGGGATCATAACAAATATGGGGACTGGTAGGAAGATTGGTAGACATTTTAAACATTACAGTTTCTACAAGAATCTCAATGTAATGATGATTTAAGCAATGCCAACCACCAAGTAACTTTGTAAGCCAATACTGGTTGTTAAATGTTAGGTGAATAAAGCATTTTTTTTAAGGAGAATCATAGCGAGCATGACTGATACAACTGCAAAAACAATCAGTATGAAAGAGTGCAGTTAAATTCATCTAAAGTGTCGAGCGATTGTCGCATAAAACCACCACATGATGGCGCTACATGCATTAGAAATGAAATCACAACATTAAATGTTCATATGATATATTGGCTATCATGTAAAGAAAAAACAAGTATAAACTCTTAGCAATAGTAGAGATACCTTCATAGATACATAAAAGATAATGGTAGGCAAAAGTTGCAGACTTGAATTTACAGCTTCTATTTAGTGTCATTGATTATATAAAATGTTGATGTACAGTATTTATGAAGTGTAACAATCATTTTAGGACTGCTTCTGGTAATACTGTAAACACGCTTTTAAAAAATGATATATATATATATATATGAAAATACAATGTTTTACGACTCCAACCGTATTTAATCGCACCAAGCCTCATTTTACAGTATTCATATTTTATTAATGGTACCCAGCCCTACCGGGGATTATACAGATATTGGCAGTAAAATGTACCCGGATATGAAAAGATCCTCCTTCTTAGGACAGTCTTTCCTTCATGGCTACTAACATCAGATGTCTTCAGTGTAGTAAAAGTATTTCTGGTGTATAGTGATAAAATAACATTAACCTTGATTAGAAGTACATTATTGTAAATTACATGCAAGTTTTATTTGCGTAATCTTTTTTTAACTTGTAATCCATGCACAGGATGCGTCTAAGGTGTGCCGTGGATTCATGGAGAGAGAGCAAGGCGAGGTCCGTTTCTCTGCGGTTGCTCTGTGTCAGAGTTAAATGTTCGGTAGGACACAACCAAAATGTCCTGACGCATTCACATGGCCACATTCAGCCGGCACCCAGAACAACCTGTGAACACACACATCTGCAGACACCATGCACTGTAAAGCACACATTGTTGCCACATAAAGTACTTTCATCTCATGAACAAAGCATTATTTAGCACATGTACACATACACACAAGGACACCATCTAACCCTTTTGTTCTGATGAAACTAACTGATACAAGCTAGCTAAACCTTTTTATGTGATATCATTCAGCAATGGGAATTGTAAAACATGAGGTTAGACCTCACCTCACAACTGCTTCTGTGTCTTGTATGTATTCATTGGTGCATCTTTGTCAAACTCTCAACACTGATGCTTACATAAATACCTTTTGTGCCAATAACTAGAATAAAGACGAGTGGGAAGGAAAAGGCAGAAAACATTGCCTGTTTTTCTGAAAGCATTTAGTTCAGTTTAAAAGGATCTGACATTCCTCAGAACAGCCCAAATGTATCCGTAGGAATAATTTAACCATTGTTAGGAGAATGCATGCAACCCTGGCTTTGAGTGGCATTTGTTCTTGGGTGATACTTCTCTGTAAATTGAGAATTTAAACTTCAAATTGGTAGTGGTGGACACCAGTTGTTAACCTATGTTTTCAGAAATGATTACAAGAGAATGTTGTTTGCACTTATTTTGAAATGGATTTTCTCTTAATGTAAAAATAAGTGTACAAGTTTGACACATACAATTCAAAACACTATAGGGACCATCGAAATAAAGCGTTCTATATTGGGGTGTTGTCGAGCTAGGCTGTGCTACAATTGTTTAACTTCCTGCACTGTTTTAATACTATGTTGCTGTAGTTCTGTTGGTGATGCAGCTGTGGGAATTCATTAAAGCAACCATTAGACTTAAATGTGTCTGCTGGTCTGTTTCTTTCTCTTCCTTCAAAACCCAATCTTTAACCTTTATTTGACCTCCCCCAGTTCCCAGTCGGCATTTTAGTTGAAACTTCTTTCACGCTGTGTCATATGAGGTGATGACGTGGTTAATGCCATGCAGCCCTCACAGCTGGGGGTTCATCCTGACCGGTGCTGGTGCAGTTCAGCTGTAAAGAGATGAAACGGGAGCAGGATGACTGAAGAGTTGTTGATAGTCTGTTCATTCTACTCATCACTGCTGACACAAGACCTTTCTCTGGGTTGAAAACAGCATGCACAGTGTGATGTACAGTATAAGCCTCTAAGACACAGAGACATATCTATATTTTAGGAAAGCGGGTATGGAAGTAAAAAGGGTACCACTAGTCTCCCCTTTAACTTTTCTTTCAAAATGGTCAGAAAATAAAGGTTAACCCTGCTGTTTAAAAAGATCACATTTAATCCAATACTAAAGGGCAGAAGCTATCGACACAACTGTGTATGCACAAATATCAATAACACTGATTGCTTGCAACACTGCTGAGGACTGCCAAGCTATTCTTTTGTCAGTTTATGAAGTGCAGTTTGTAAGACTTTTTAGTGCTATAGATTGTTCTAGCTTCTTCTAAATTATGGTGAAACAAATCTCTCAGAAGCTGCCTATCATACATGGGACATTCTTATTTTTAGCAACTTAAGGCAAGGCTGTTAAAGTGAGGTCATTATGTTGCCTTTAAGTATCTATTGGGTACAGAGCACACACTACTATGTTGTGGGACAGCTTCATAATATTTTGCCCAGACAAAAAAAACAACTGTATTTGCTTCATTGAAGCAAATAAATAACAGAAAAAAAGGTGGATATTTAAATATTTTTTGTGGGGCCCTATCAAAACACAGAACAAAAACATTTGCATTTTACGAGTTTATTTTGAAAAGTTATATGCAATTAATTAAATTAACTCAGGCCCTTGAGAGTCTGAGGTCCTGGGGGTAGATGCTTCTTTATTAATTAATTAAACAAATGCAATATAAGCCTAGCTTCAAGTAATTTAGACTTTTGTTGTATGTTTGAAACCTGAGGTCTTTTATTGACTCAAATTGAGCAATAAACCGTGAAAGCTCTACGTTTTTAAATGTCATTGTAACATTTCTATAAATGTTTGAAGCCAGTGGACTTCTAATACTCTAAGCATACAGCAAATCTCCTGAAACTGTCCATTGCAGCTGACGCAGGAGAAATAACGGGACATTTTTTTCAGTCTCCCTCTCCCCTCTATCTCTTTCTATATCTCTCGACTTCCCCCGCATAGATTCCTGTCTGCGCGTGCACGTCCCTTCTGAAATGCGCGGCAGCGGCCTCGCGCAGCGTCGCCTACAGGAATCATTATTTTTAGCGCCTGGTTCGTGTTGCAGTGTCGGGGTCGCAAGAAGCTTTTCTCTCCATCTCTGTTCAATTGGAGCAGGACTCGCGGTTTGCACGAGAGAGCTACGCAACGCGCTGACTGTGCGTGAAGTTGCGGGTCGGTCGATGTTTGAAAGCGAGGAGGGGAATAACAGACTGACAGAGCAGGGGGGGAGCACCAACACATCTTGTCCCCATATCACCAGCGTCCGATACACTCTCCGGTGCTCGTTTAACGGACAGCCAGGAGATGGCTAGCCCCACGGCAGGTCGAGAAGTCCCGGATGCTTCACCGCAGGACGAGCCGGAGGCGTCGGCTCAGCCCCATCCCGAACCAGCCTGTCTGGAGGCTCAGCAATGGATAGAGGTGAGTGAAGAGACGCTCCGGGAGGCTCACGGGCCTGCTGCTACAGCACCGCGGGACAGACACGTCCATTACTGGGGGATATAAATACATAGATCACCGGTGCACCGTCACCTGTTGTGGGGACGATGCAGTGTCGGGTTACCGTGTGGGACAACGGCTCTGCATGTGTGGACAAACGTAAAAGTTGTAACATGTCTGTGTCCTGGCGTTATTTAACACACACACCAGTAACGTGGGGGCTTAAACAGGGGAGATTAAGCTAGAAAAAAACTGAAAAGTAAAATGAAATCTTATAAAGTAGCCATTATGTAGGCCTACTGTTTGTTTTGATGTTTTTACTTGCTCGGTGGTGTAACGCCCCCTTTCTCCGGGTGAGAGCGGATTCCGGTTGCCATAGTGATAAAACCGGGCCAGCATTTACGCACGAGATGCTGTAGCGTTGATCCCATCGAATTAGATTATTATTCGGGGTTTGTTGCATCGCTTCTTCCACCACCATCATCTGCTTGGATAAAAACGTCTCTCTCTGCGAGCCAGAGCGGTGAATCATGATTTTGCCCTGTGGAGCTGAGTTATGATGACCTATTTTCTGCTGTCCCTGCTTCAGGCTACAGCTACCTGCCAACTAGCATCTCAGCTTTGGGTAATAAAGCCTGGAAGTACAACAAAAATGAGCTCTAAAGCTCTAAACTGAGTTTTGGCTTCAGCTTCACACGGTAGATGTGTTTTCACAGGACTCCCACTCCATCCATACAAGCTGTGGTAGATTGCAGAGAGTGAGATGGATCGTTATATTAAAATCTGAATTGTAATTAATGCAAGACTGCAAACACCTTGACACAGAGTTAGAATTGTTGTAAAATAGATAAAGATAGAATGATTCTTTCCATTGTCAAAGAAGTAGAAAGGTGAAAATATTCATAACTGAAAATAACAAACACTTATGAAACAGATTTAGGATTGATTATTTAACAACAATTTGTTTGCAGAGGACATTTCGGATTAAATGTTGAGCTCTTCTGCTTGTGGAGAACAACGGCTGATCGATAATTTAAATGTAAACTTGCAAAGTTACCCCTTCAATAAATGATGTTTGAGTTGGGACATATCTGATTTTCAAGTCATACTTGTGCCCCACCCTATTTATAAAAAAAGGATAACAAAACATTTCTTATATATTCCAGTTTGAAGGATAACGTTTTCCAAACATCGCAAAAACATAAAGTGCTTTCCTATAACCTTAAACGTTTTCAAAATCCATGATTTAGAGCAAATTAAAAAGAGACTTATTTAGATATAAAAGGAAAAAAATGTTTTTATTGATAAAACTAATATTTATGTGATTTAAAAGAAATATCTAATAATTAAATTATAAAAAGGCCTTGGTTTTAAAAACATTTAGTTTAAAGCATAAGAATAATATAATTGGTAGTCTGTATTTTTGGGGGGCATTCCTAGTCAATCAGAATTACAATTGACCTCTAACATGACATCCCTCTTAAATGAAGTTCATCTTGCTCCCAGTCAAAGCGTTGTGGTCTTTTGGATCACTAAACAAATGTTATTAACAGGTTTTTTTACCAGGAAGGGGACAATAAGCACATTTTGGTCTGCATTTAAAAAGAATCAATGCTAGTAGTCTAGGTCAAAAGTTGCTCTAGGTCTTATTCTCTCCTGTAGTGTATTCCTCTTGCTTTGTCGTCCTGCTGCCTCCTAATTCTCCAGTTATTTAAAGTCCGGTCAGGCCAACTCTATTTATAGTGGTGTATTTATGCGCTTTCACAGGTGTGGATGATTCAGGGTTAAACACGCCACCCTACGCTCCATGCTGCATTTTCAGTTTGTGTGCCTCTCTCTAAGAGTATGCAAAGTGTATTCACACACACAAATGTCAATCAGCTATGCATGATACAGCTCACACACTCCTCAGACACGCCCCGGTTGGGTGACACTGGTCACTATGGGAACATAACATGCGGCCTCTCAGGTGTCACTGTTTCCAGGGGGAGCAGTAGGCAATCTATCACCACATGACCAGAGCAGGAAATGACACGGGTACAGACAAGACCTTTCTATCTGTTTATAGACGAGACAAGGCAGGATTAGACTGTCTCAAAGCTGATGCACACCATCGACTGTGCTTAAACCTGGTGGATGTGTCGTTGATTGAGCAGGTTAGAGTTGGACATGCTTAGAGGAAACATAACGTAAACTTTGGTGACAGCAGTTAGCCTCTGCTGTCACCAGTATACAGTACATAGCCGGTGAGGTCAGTCACACAGGGGAATAGATAGACCAAAGAATATATTTGTGTGTGTGTGCCAGATGCCACAGCTGTCTCTGTCCGAGGCAGATTATCTCCAATGGTTGCAGACAGCCAGCTGAGTGTGTGTGTGTGTGTGTGAGAGAGAGAGAGAGAGAGAGAGAGAGAGAGAGAGAGAGAGAGAGAGAGATAGAGAGAGAGGAGAGAGAGATAGAGAGATGATAGATAGCTAGATATAGGAGCGATCGAGAGAGAGATAGCGCTCTATAGATGCGATAGATCGAGATCATATATCATAGATATATATATCCTATATATCTCTCTCTACTGCTCTCTCGCATCTCTCATATCTCTCCTATCTATCTCGCTCGCTAACTGCTGATCGTCTCTCTCTCCCTCATCTCTATCTTCTTCTCTCTCTCTCTTTCTCTCTTTCATTTATCCTTCTCTCTCTCTCTCTTCTCTCTCTGCTCGAGAGAGGAGAGAGAGAATTCATGGGATTTTCCATGCATTAATGCTGTAGTGAAAGAAATGTGGAATAATGATGGGATAGACTTACTGCTCGCACAGATGTCTTTCATGCCTCAGTGATTTTTGAAGTTTTTATGTTGCCAAAATACTTGCAGTTTCCCACGGATAAAACTACACATCTTGGCATGGTGCAGATTTCATTAGCATTACTTCAGGTCGTGTTGTATTTAAAAAAGTGTTACGCTTAACTTTACTTCATTTAGGATGCAAAGGACACTGAAATGTACATGAAAACAGACTCCTAGTGGGGGAAATAACATACCTACTTTTTGCACTTAAGTGTATTTTGTACTTATCTCAGAAGTTAAATAAAGATTCAATTACAAATTACATTTGACTTAATTTATATGCGCAGAGTGACATATGTTTATATTAAAGGTCACTATCTTATTTTGCCCCATTTTGTATATTATCATTGATTTAAAAATACAAAATAACATGCCATGGTTACGTTATGATAGCTCCTATATATCACATGTAACTAAACATTTTAGTGTACTTTTACCACAAATTCATTTTACTGTGATATAGTACAGTAAGTGTGCTGAGAGGAAGTACTTTGGTTCCTCATGTTGATTCATTATCTGGTGGTTTCTAGTGTCCAATCACTGGTTATTTTCTCCAGATTAAACTCATCTTCAATCTGGATTATGACTTAATCTTTAGGGATTTCTCTTTCAGTTTTTCTTTTTGTGTTTTTCTCTTTTTTCTGTGTGTTACGATAGTCCATTAGTCTGCAGGATGCCTACAGCACATTATGACATACCGAGGTTAATGCTTCTGCAGCACCACACATTGAAACAGCAGCCTCTCAGCTCTTTGTGCATCAACTGGGACTAACCCTATACATGAAGTGGCTTTACTGGGAGCACATGGGCAGTTAAGCTTGGGTTAACAATGTGCATCCCATACATCAACTTTACATTTGAGTCACAAGCATTGAATTGTAATATTTGATGCCATAATTGTTCTATGGCTTTTCCCGCAGGGACTGCTAATGAAATGTAGCTATCTAGCTAACTCTGGCGTAATCCATCTTGTTAATCAAATTCACTTAAAAGGAATTTCCCTTTGTGTTTGGTGGATAAAATAAGTACTGTAATTGATTCTTCTGAAAACAGTAGCTTACCTCTCAGATTTCAATGATAATACATGAGCGAACTTGGGGTCGATTCAGGACATGGACTGGTTGTCCCATGATATATATGAACATCAAACTGTCAGTGCAGCAGCATGGCCTCTTATTATTTGTATAACTTTTAGTCGGAGCCTATAATCATGGCTTTCCTGAGCTGTAATACAACACAGCATGTGATGTGCGTATTAAAAATATCACATCTAACTTAATTTACTGCACATTTTTCTGCTCCTGTGCTCTAATTTGTAGCCTCTCATTCCTTCAATTTTTTTTTACAGTTGTTAAAATACAAGAAACGTGTACTTTGGCCTGGTTCTGCTTCCCCTCTTCCTCACACACAGTTTACATGGTAGCTGCTGCTGCTGCCATTCACCCAGACTGAGCAGAGCAATCCTCCATGGAGGCTGACAGGGAGCGAGGGTCGAATTACTGTTGAAATACCCTGAAGGCCTTTGAAATGGTTTTTGGAGCAGTCATGAATGCTCACTTATCACACGTCACTCTCTCATGCCAATCTGTTGTCCTCTGCTTATATATTTTCATCCCAATTTAATCCAAAACATGTAAGCGCACATCAGCCACTGTGTCTATCTTTTGCACTTCAGTTTCAGCATTTTATACATAACCAATCGTTATCCACCTCCACCCCTTACAAACTGTCTGTGGCCTTTATCACACACACACACACACACACACACACACACACACACACACACACACACACACACACACACACACACACACACACACACACACACACACACCAAACAGTCATCCTGCTCTCCCTCAATAGAGTACTTTCCTTGGGCAGTAAATTATGCATGACCATGCTGTAAATGTTTCAAGATCTAGAGTCTAACCTCGATAAACAGTGTGTGTGTGTGTGTGTGTGTGTGTGTGTGTGTGTGTGTGTGTGTGTGTGTGTGTGTGTGTGTGTGTGTGTGTGTGTGTGTGTGTGTGTGTGTGTGTGTGTGTGTGTGTGTGTGTGTGTGTGTGTGTGTGTGTGTGTGTGTGTGTGTGTGTGTGTGTGTGTGATGATAGACAAGAAAAATAAAATGATGCCAATGGGAAACATCTGGTCTTCACTTATAGAACAATAGGCTTTTTTCAGTGTGTGTGTGGGTGTTTTCCTGTCATATGTTTGGTACACGTGCATTCTAACTTCACAAAAATAAATACAAATGATTTTCTAAATATCACCTGAAATAAAGGACAAACAAAACAGAAAAAAAACATCAAAGACTAATTCTCTTAATAATTCAAAATATTATTTATTGTTGTCAGTTGCAGACAAAAATAGACCCATTTACTCAGCGTGTGTTGTTTGTTAGAGGATGTACAGTAAATTATAGTATACAGTATACTGTATATGAGCAGTGGAGACATAGAGAGAATGTATGGCTGCAGTTAGCAGTTTCGGTGCTAACTATAATCTGTGCTAATCTGGATTAGAAGTCTAAAGAGTCGAACCTCTCTGATTTTTGGCTGCTGGTTACACAACAGCTCCAGAAAGCAGTGTGTGGACTGGTAATATCTCACTCCTCCTCTCCGGCCTGAGCAGGAAAGACGTCAAACTGGAGTTCAGGTTAGAGGATTGAGGTTATGGTTCGCTCAGACTACGACTGCGTGCACCTAAATCAGGAAAATGAAATGAGGACACAGAGCAGTGTGTCACTCTCATTTGCTTTCTACTGAAGCAAAACATGTTGGGGGAAGGGTGAACTGGGCAGCAGCAGGTTCCTCTGTCAGCGACACAATGAGGCACTATTCAACAGACCTTATGCACTTCTTTACTTGATAATCAATAGATTATAACAACAAAAAGATACTTTCAGACAGAACAATGAATCATAAACTAAATATCCTCTGATTTTGGTTTGTTCAGGACATCGTCCTCGGCTCTAGGAACTTGTAATTAAAATGTCCTATAATAAATAATAACTTGATTATCAAAAAATAACTAATAAAGAAGGAATCATCACTAAAACTATTAGGTAGTTGCAGCCATATTTTTAGTCCACCTCCTTTACATCTGTGTCTTCCTTTGCCCCCCAGGCTGTAACGGGGAAGAGCTTTGGAGAAAAGGACTTCCGCAGTGGACTGGAGAACGGCATCCTGTTATGCGAGTAAGCTTCTGACATCCCCCCCACTCAGTTTTGATGTCTGAAGCAGCAACAACATACATGAACTCCTCCTAAAACTCAATAAATCTCTGCTTCTCCCCTCCTCCTCTGTCAGGCTGCTGAGTGAGATCAAACCAGGGCTGGTCAAGAAGATCAACAGACTGCCCACCCCCATCGCTGGCCTGGTAAGAGGACACTCTCCAGTGTGACATCAACACTGTGAGCCGGCCTGTTCGTCAAAGTGATAAACTCTGACTGTGGTCCCCTGCTCTCTGTCTTACAGGACAACCTGTCTGTCTTCCTGCGGGGCTGTGAGGAGTTGGGCCTGAGGGGCGCCCAGCTGTTCGACCCCGGGGACTTGCAGGACACTTCCGTACGAGCTAACCTCAAGTAAATAGCTATGTGTGTTTGTGTGCCTTTCTTTATTGTCCATTTGAAAGGGATAGTTTGGATTGTTTGAAATGAGGTTGTATGATGGACTTATTTATAATAAGTGGATCCCAAAAGTGTATATTTTGTGTGTGCAGGATTTCAGTCGCCAATGGAGAAAGATTTGTAGCATTGATTTATTGAAAAAGCCTTAACTGTTACGTTACATTCCTTATACCTCTTCCACCTACGTACCGATTCTTTCCTTAAAGGTCATCTATTATGCAAAATCCACTTTTTCATGTCTTTTATAAATAAACATGTGTCCCCTCGGTGTAAAGAGATTCTGAATGTTTCAGGAAAAATGATTCGCTCTCTTTTTGTCCTGATCCATTTATATAAAAACCTGTCTGAAAATGAGCCGATCAGATTTTGGCCACTTTATGATGTCATAACTATTGGCTTGTGTAACCATTAGCCAATCACCAACCAAGGTAACCCCCCCCCCCCCCCCCCCCTTATCACCTGAATCTCCTCCTTGAGCACCATTGTGTTCTTTTTAACCAAATATCTCTGAGGGCCGTGGGGAGTGGCTCCTTATTTTCATCTAGTAACAGACAGAGAATCAGCACTTTTGAAACAGGGCTGAAACAGAGGGGATTATGGGATGCTGCAATGCATGATCTGTTTGGTATTTTGAGGCAAACACTTGCGAGACATGTTTTATATATATCTGAGACCTATAATATATTGATGAAAAACAGTATAATAGGAGACCTTTAATGGAGGTCAAAAACCTGGTTTTAGCTGTTTTGTGATTTGGGTGAATCTGAAATAACCTAAGTAAAAAAAATAAAAAACGTACCGATCAATGCAAGGGTAGACAAAAAATGGTGTGTTCAAAAGGCTCTGTTATCTTGAACATATGTTTAGCTGATGCCCAGGTCACCAGCAGCTTAACATCTAAGCCTGAAACACAGGACGTGCTGATTATCATCTCTACTGTAGATAACACACTGACTGGATAATAGCCGTATTCTACCCCGCTGCAAAATCCAAACTATCCTTTTAATATAGTTTCGATTGACACTAACACACTTCTCTGTCATCAGGGACTCTGACTGCAACCGCAAACTCAAAAATGTGAGTCATTATTGCCGTTTCATTTATTTGTCTTGCTTTATCTTCTATATCAGTGTGTTTAGCAGTAATGAATATACTTCACACTCCTGTATCTCTCAGGTGCTGAACACCCTGTTCTGGCTTGGGAAGGCTGCCAGCGGCTGCGCCTCCTACAGCGGACCTACTCTCAACCTCAAGGAGTTTGAAGGGCTTCTGGCTCAAATGAGGCTGGTGAGTGAACACGGTGAAGAGGGGGGAGGGGGGAGGAGCGGGAGAAACACAGATAGCGGCTTGGAGGAGGTGCGGGGGATGGATTTCTTAGTTTCCTGTCTTTGTTGGGGTGCAGCAGAGTCACACCAAACAGGAAACAAACACATTTTTGTTTTTGTAACAACACAGCCCCTCCTCCTATTTCAGGGAGACACAGAACAGATAAACAGGATAAAAGAAAGGAGAGTAGAATGTCTCTGCACATTTGATCTGTTGGTTAAACTGGCAGTCGATTCAAAATACCGTGAATATCTATGACGGGTTGCATGAAGCATCTTAATATACATAAGTTATTCCTTAAAAGCTTAGACGTAGCACACTCTTCCTTAGCAATAACTTAAAGAAGACATTTATATTTTAGGACACAACTAATTAGTGTGAGATTTTTTCCCTAATCAAATCGGTCCTACTTTTCTATTGTTTTTCGGACATTATGAACCTCTATTTTTAACTTGAACAAAACAAAATGTTCCATTAAACACTACAACAAATGTTGTGTTGGTGTCCAGTCTCTGGAATTTTCATAACAATTTCAAGCTGGACATTGGGAAATCGCTTGTTTTTTTGTTGCAACTGTGTTAACAATTCCCATACCAAATGAAATAATACTTAAATCAAATCATAAAATCATCATCGGAAAAACTTAGGATCCTTTGTCCAACCCTTCAAATGTTTTCCTTTCTTTTGGCCTCCTTTGCAATCATTTTCTCAACCCAGGCATTTTCTTGAGGGAGCTTCTTATATTATTGTTCTTACTACATCATGCTCCTTTCCATATATTGTTTTAATGCTCTGTGTTTTTTATTTGTGTTTCTAGGAAAGTGATGAAAGTGGTGACGGTTCACAGAAGCGCAGTGTGAGGGACAGCGGCTACGACTGCTGGGACTCTGAGAGAAGTGACTCTCTTTCTCCACCACAACACACTCGTGACAACTCCCTAGACAGGTGAGAGACATCCGTCAGCACACACACATACCAGAATATATAGACGCACACACGGGGATATTTCAGATAACTGATGAAAGGTTGAATACAGCTACTTCCTAATTTTAGAGACACACATTTGAAACTTTAAAACTGGTTCCACCACCCACATGTGTGTTTGAAATAGTGTGTTTTTTAAACCAGTTTTCTTTCTTTTTTGACAGTCTGGACTCCATTGGCTCTCGCTCACAGCACAGCCCTTCTCCTGATGTGGTGAATCGAGGCAACAGTGATGGTTGGTTCTGATATGTCTTTATATAATATTTCTGAATGTCTGCCCTAGTCTTTTTCAACAAACACGAGAGTAGATATAGATCTTCTCATGTAACTTTATTAAAAATAGCAAATAAGCATATTTCTCAACATCCCTTTAAGGCAGGAATACAAAACCCACTCACCCATAAATAATCCGACTGCTGTCCCCTCACGTGTGGGGGTTTTAACCTTGGTATGTTATGGCCAGTCAGGCGACCTGTGAATAACAGCTGAACGTCCAGACACTGTGTGTGTGTGTGTGTGTGTGTGTGTGTGTGTGTGTGTGTGTGTGTGTGTGTGTGTGTGTGTGTGTGTGTGTGTGTGTGTGTGTGTGTGTGTGTGTGTGTGTGTGTGTGTGTGTGTGTGTGTGTGTGTGTGTGTGTGTGTGTGTGTGTGTGTGTGTGTGTGTGTTGTGTGTGTGTGTGTGTGTGTGTGTGTGTGTGTGTGTGTGTGTGTGTGTGTGTGTGTGTGTGTGTGTGTGTGTGTGTGTGTGTGTGTGTGTGTGTGTGGGTGTGCCCCAGATGCAGCAGCTGTTGATCTGGGTAGCAATCATAAAATATTTGAACCTGGGAAACACAAGCTGAGGTCAACATCCTGCCTGGTGTGTGTTTGTGTGTCTTTTACGTTGACACTTTGAAATGCATGCAACAGAGTGACAAGAAAAACTCTATTTGAGAGCTGGGAATAGACCCCTATCCCTACATTCCCAGGAGGTCCGAGAGACAGTGTGTCGCTTTACCAAGTTATATTCATTACCCAACACGAAAGAAAGTCAGGGAATATAAATATACTTATTCTCTCTGTTTGTGTGTTTGCGAAATACTGCATAGATGTATGAATGTGAAAAGTTGCCAAGGAAAGAAGTGATATTTCATTGCATTTAGAGAATGGTTCATTGTTTACTGTAATGTAGGTCGTATTTTTCAGTAACCTAGCAAAGCTGAGATTTGGGGACAAATCAGACATGTTACCAAACAAGCAGACAGTCCAGAGGTAAAACCGAAACCTGACATGCTCTACGTGTTGATAATAATGATCCCTTATTCTCTTTTAAATAAGTTGGACTAACCTTGGTTTTTCTAATCTGTCTGAGAGTCTGTATGATGGCTTTCTGTTTTTAGCCTGACTTCTTATAAGCAATGGGCTATCTCCAGTCCTAGAAATGTAAGGCAATGCGGCTGTGCCTAAACCTGCATTTTCTTTCTATTGTGTAGCAGGGAGTGACTCCACTAGTTGTAAATAGAAATCCAAATGTTTAGAGGTCTATGTAAAACTAATCCTACTTCTCACTTGATTTATTACTTTTTAAATGAGTTTATGGTCTCTATCGCTAGTCTCATGTCTTATTCAATACAGAATGGTTCTGAAAATGATGGTTTCATTTAGATTCAGTGTCCAAGTTGCTTGAAGCTGTAAAGAAACTTAAAAATAATCTGTCATGACCCATTTCATAAGAAATTCCCTTCACTGGAAAAATCGCTATTAGCACATAAGATATTATGAATGTGGCTGGTACGTCTTGAGAAGCTTCTGCAGTGGTGATGATGTAAGGACTCATTAAAAGTACTTCCTGACATATTTTCTAACCTTATTCACTCTTTTTTTGTAATCTTTCATGCTCCATCGCTCTTTGTTGCCCAGGACGAGGCAGCGACTCGGATGCTGATGCCCCCAGCAGGAGGCCAGATGTGAGGAAGGATGACATGTTGGCCAGACGGACGGCCAGCAGTGAATCAAGAAGCTTCGTTCCCTTTAACCAGTTTCTTCCCAACCGAACCAACACCAGCTGCTACATCCCCGCTCCACGCCGAAAAACACATACAGAGGAAGGAGATCAGCGGAGGTAATGACCACCAAATTAGTGCATTCAGATACAAATAATGCATATTAAGTGTTGCAATGGAAAAATACATAAAAGGAGCTGAAGAATCACATAAGACACACACACACACACACACACACACACACACACACACACACACACACACACACACACACACACACACACACACACACACACACACACACACTCTTCATCATCCCTAATCTGTCCCTGCCGTTACACACCGTTCCCCAGTCAAGCCTCTCAAGAGCAGTCCACAAGAACTGGACCGCAACACAGAACTCCCAAGACTGTCACTTGGGCACCCGAGAAAAATGAGGAAAAACAGGAAGAGGAAAAAGTGACGCAGGAAGTGTTGGAGCAGAAGAAGCTGCAGAGGTTGCAGAAGGCAGGGATTAAAGTTCTGCCTGCTGCCGTTCGCTACAGCAGGTCAGAGAGGAGCGGCATGAGAGCTGCTGTGGTTTGACAGTTTTGGTCGTGTTCACTAACGGATCGTTATGATGGTCATTTTAATTGTGTGTTTTTCTGGTGCTCTATTCACACTGGAGGTTTGGGTTTGTGCAGATATCTGGTTTGAGCAATTTGGCTTATTTATAATGCGTTTTGGGATCGAGATCTGACTAACTGCTCGATACTGTTTCTGTGTTTTATATGTGAGAGCTTGATTCAAGTCTTCTTGACTGTTATTAAGGGGAAATTGAGCCACCTTTTACTTAGTGTTTAGTGTTTACATCAGTGTTGATGGTAAATGCATTCAATTATAACGCTGTCATTTGATGCGTCAAGGACGTAGTTGGATGCAATGAACATCTAGAAACTACTTTACTTTAGCTTAGGTGTCTATCTCAGGTTTCTTATGAATATATCATACACTGAGGATTGTATTGCTTCAGTTAATCACATTTACCATCAACAGTGATTGGGCATTCACATAAGGTGGCAAATGTTTTCTTTAATATTGTAAAATAACTTTTAATGGGCATGGATTGCTACTCGGTTGGTTTGACAGGTGATACATTTGCCTGTGAACTATGATTTAATCAATGGGACCTTGCAATATCACACTAATTGTGGACGCATGTCAAATGGGAACTTTGCACGACGCTACCTCTGCTCTCAGCATGCAACAAAATATTTTAATAACCTATGAATGACCTTTTCACACCAGCCCTCCAACAATGGAGGAACAGGAAGTGAGATCTCCGTCCCCGAGCATCATCCTTCGCTGCGAAAATGAATTTTTGAACACTCAGAAATCTGCCTGGGACTCTTCCTCTGATGTGGAAGAGGAGGCCGAGGTGCGGAAAGTCCCGGATGTTCGTAAAGACGATCTAGCATCCAGACGAGCTCATCGCGGCACGGTTGCTCCCAAGGTGCACCAGTTTGTCCCAACACCTGCATGTAGCAGCAAAGACAGGGAGCGCTGGGAAGGCATTAGACGAGCCTCGCAGCAAACACTGCAGGAGAAGGAGATCAGGTTAGCTGAAGTTTGTTTGTGTGTGCTGCCATTTCTCTTCCCTTTGCTCTCCAACTCTCACACATTTTCCTACTTTTTCCTTCTTTGCGTGCTGTGGTCACTCGTGGTTTGACGTGTGTGTGCTCAACTTTGTTTGCTGTGTGTTGCGATTGGCTCTGTGATTGGACAGTGACAAGGAAAAAGTCCCTGACATCATTACACGCCGAGACAATCCTTTCCTAAACTCCGCCCCTCACCACGAGGAAGAGGAGGACGGGGAGGAAGAGGGAGAAGAGGGGAAGGTCATAGCAACGCCTAATAAGCAGAAGGATGACCTGGCTCGTAGGCGGGCTCTGAATAAGCCCCTCCCTCACAGGGACGGACCAATGAGCTTTGTTTCTGCCCCAATGAGTGAAAAAGACATGCAGAGGTGGGAGAGACTCAAGATGACTGAACCCAGGTGCCCAACACACTCTCTCTGTTTCAGCACACATGCAGTACAAAGCACTTAAATGCTGCTGTATGTCAAGTGTGTGGGCGATAATGACTAAGTGCAGTGTGTGTGTGTGTGTGTGTGTGTGTGTGTGTGTGTGTGTCTAGGTTCAGTTTCAGTCTTAAACAGATGGACTGTAGGTAGGAGAGTAACTTTGAACTACAGAGCTTTTCAGATGAAGTTGCAATCCAGTTATTTAAAGGGATATTGCTTAAATCCCCAACAAACAATGACTTTACTACATTTGGTGCTTTATTTGGAAAGCCGATCAACTTGATTCCTAGATAAACAGCAACATCTATGTTATCTACACAAAGTAAGGGGTTTCATAAATGTGAATATATTACTTCAATACTTCCTTTATTATTCAAAATTCCCAACAATCATTTTTTAAATTAATTTTTAATTATATGTAGGATATCTTCCTGTTTATTACTTTTTGTGAATCGAAATAGTCCATTTGATGATGTATTTCTTAGCTGTTATGATTAATTCAGTTATCAAAAAACCCATTAACAGGTAAATACTAAAGTACATAATGTAAATAGAAGTTCATTAGTTATTTTCTTGGACATATTTAACCCTTAAATGGGCAATCACATATACATATTTTAACAGAGTTATAACACCCGTATTTCACCTATGTTACACTGTTATTAGACCCATATTACACCCAAAGTCTTTATCTTGTACACTTTTGTAAGCACCATAATCTCCACCAAATCTTAGTTTCCTTTCTCTTCTGGTCTCAGTTGCTCCCCATGTTCTCATCTGCTTGTTCATTCTCCTCACCATTGTGCACAGAGTTGGGAATTGGTCTGTGACCAAAAGAGAGGCAACTGTTGGCTCAGAGCACTGCTTGGGCTTTTTCCCCCCCTCTCAGCACTGATGTCATTAGATAGGATAAAGAGTTTTTTGTGTTCCCAGTAGAGCTGCAGTTACTAGGAAAAGGGACTATACCTTGTGTGCTTGGTGTGTGTGTGTTGTGAATGTACGTATGTGTGGAAGTCATTAAGTACACAAGCCCATGCTCTGTCCCCTTCTGTCCATCCACACTTCCTGTCTGATTCATCATTTCCAACTCATGCTTCCTTTGTCTCCACAGTCTGATCCTCTCTTTCTGGTTGCTCATGATTTATTTTCCGCCCTCTTTATTCCCCCCCTGCTCTTCTCCTGGTTGTTGTGGTGTGTGTGTGTGTGTGTGTGTGTGTGTGTGTGTGTGTGTGTGTGTGTGTGTGTGTGTGTGTGTGTGTGTGTGTGTGTGTGTGTGTGTGTGTGTGTGTGTGTGTGTGTGTGTGTGTGTGTGTGTGTGTGTGTGTGTGTGGTGTGTGTGTGTGTGTGTGTGTGTGTGTGTGTGGTGTGTGTGTGTGTGTGTGTGTGTGTGTGTGTGTGTGTGTGTGTGTGTGTGTGTGTGTGTGTGTGTGTGTGTGTGTGTGTGTGTGTGTGTGTGTGTGTGTGTGTGTGTGTGTGTGTGTGTGTGTGTGCGCGCTCGTATGCCTTCATGTGTGAGATTGTATCTACAGTGAGGCCAGCCCGGCCCCAGCTGTGTGTCAGGCTTGTCTGGAGAAAAATTATGGAAGTCCTTTCAGCGGATCAGCAAAGGCTAGACGGGGTCACTGCAAAGTTGTGACCTTTGGGGGCGTGACAGAGATCGAGCAGCCAATAGACACAATCGCATCAAGTGAAGGGGAAGAGACGGAGTTGCTAAGACGACTCCTTTCCAAGGCAACTGTAGCCATGCCTACTATTGGCCTGGGCTCCCAGCTTTCAGAGCGGGAACACAGGTACGGACGAGGCCAAATACGACTTAGGCTACAGTGTCTTGAATCCAAAGTCTCTTGCATTAGTGTGGACTGCACTGACAAAAAAATAGGTCCCTATCTTTTTATATTATCTATTGAAGGATTTAATATAATTGCTTGTGATGTTGATTTATATAATCTTTCACATTTCAGGCTTTTTTGAATTAGTAAAGTAGGTAGTGTGGCTGCACCTCTCTCTGCATTGTCCTGATTTGCTTGTAGTTTTAATAGTAGGTAACAAAGCTACACATGCATGTACATGCTGCTGTGACAACTAGTAATAGAATAAATAACTTGTATTTGAAGTATCAAAGACATGATTTAGGAGGTATTTAAAAAGTGTCTTCACTACATAGATAACAAACCCCCTTTTTTTGGGTCAAAAATGTAGGTTTATGTATTGGCCATTATATCAGGTTTCTTAATTTCTCAAATATCAATATTGATATCAGTTTAAAAGTGATGGTCGGGCTTCAGACAACAATTATAGCAAATGCACAATTTGTGCACTTCTATAATGTATTTTTTCTGATCAAAGGGCTTTTTCTTTTAGTTTTGCATCTCTTTTGCATGGTTTTTCTTACCTTTATCTATCGGCTCCTAAAACACTCTTTGGAATGGTTTTCAGTTTTAATTCTTCTCTTCTTTACCTTCTCTTTTCTTTACTCTTGGTCACCACTTGTGCACTAACATAGTAGCAAGTTTGGGTATTATTGTTGTTGCTGTTTGAGCTTTATATGATGCTCTCACAGCCAGGTGGATGGAGCTGACCTCAATCAAACCACCCCTGCCTTTACTGACCTCCCACCCTGCACCCCTGAGACCCCTCCTACTCCTGCCGAGATGGATGCACGTCTGGCTCAGTATGAGCAAAGAGCAGAGGAGGATGAAGAGGATGAGGAGGAAGAAGAGAGGATCCCAGATCTTCAGAAAGACGACATGATGGCAAGGAGGACAGGAGTTTTCCATAAACAAAGCACTTCTACAGCGATGTTCAACCGTTTCCTGCCTCTGCCCAGTACCAAGCGCTGCACTCAAGGCGAGGTCACCACTGACGCGGCTCCGCAGAACAGAAGGGCAGACAGGAGAGAGAAAGTAAACGCCAGGTGGGCTGAGATTTGTGTGTCTAACAGTGTGAGGAGGAGCACTAACACGCTTGGTGTGGTTTACATCCAGAAAGAAAGCTTGATGTTTATTCAATTCAAGGAGTTTCTCTCATAGAGTGGAGCAACAGCAACCCAGAGTTCCCATGGAAACACCTGACAGGACTGTAATCCGAGCAACGTCTCACAGAGAATATGATGATGAAGAGGATGAGTATGATGAAAACGAGCCTTTGCCTGACCTGGAGAAGGACGATATGATGGCTCGAAGGACCGGATCATTCGTAAAACCCAGTGCAGTCAAAACAAATCAGACCAAAAACCAGTTCCTGCCGGTACCTGGATCAGTGAAATATAAAGTCGCCCCTGTGTCTGCAATGAAGCCTCTGCACAGCAGACCTAAACTCACTGAGAAGATGGCCAGTGAAAGGTATTTAATGTGTTTGAATGATGAAGAGACTGGGGTGACTGCCAACTACGGCAACTAACAAAGCATATTTCACAGGAAGAGAAGGTTTGAGTATGTTTGCAAGTTAAATGACCTGCAGTACGAACACTAATACAACTCAGTGGGGGATTTACAGCTGATCCAGTGTTGTTGTTTTGGTTCCAAGCCTGCATGTTTGAGGGCCTGCAGCTGGACTCTTGACTTAATTTGTTGTATTTGTATATGAAGGATCTATGATGGATTTGATTTGCTGTTGTGGTCGGATTCTTGGAGTTCTCTTTCTCATATGGCTTGGTGAGGTTTGTGCTTGGTTTGGACTAATATGGCCTTTTTCTTTTTGCTGTTGAGGTTTAACATTGACTTTGTTTGGCATGACGTTGGTTGTTTTGTTCTACTTGAATATGAAGCGGTTGGCTGTTGTCTCTGTATTTAAAGTATAAGTCACAGCTGAATCACAATGGGGCGAAAAACAGCTGCTACTCTGGTTGGTTCACCCATATAATAAGAACAAAATAACTTCATTGATCCTTTGGGGGGAAATTGTGTTACCCTACAGATTCTCCTTATCAAGTTATAAACAAAGATACTTTATAAGAAAAATATAAATAAGAAAAATATGTGCATTATTTGACAATATATAGCTAACATAATAAATGCGCAGAACTAGAAATATGTTAAAATATATTTACTATAATATATAACAATAGTGTAAAAAAAAATGGGACCTTTGATTTTAAAATATAGGAATAGTATGAATAAGAATATAACATAAACACTTACACATACCGCATGTTATTACACGGCTTAGTTGAATACTCGACTCTGATTGGTCATCACCATGTTTGTGGTTTATATTCATTAATGACAGCCTCGCTGCACAGTATCCCTGCAATAATACCCTTAATTGTATAGTGTTGAAGGCAGATATATGAAAATGTTTGAGAATGAACACACATCTAGCACGAGTAAATACCATAAGATGTAATTGCAAACAAACTTGTAATTTGGGTGAGGTGACTCTTTAGGCCTTCTCTTTTATCCTGCAACATGGAACATGGCTAAACGTTTCAGCACACAAACACTGCCTCTGTTGTCCGTGATTCAGTTTTGATTTATGCGTTGTATGTATTTGCTGGTAACCTTGGCCTTGTGACTGGATTTTAGCAGCATCGTTACCGTGGCAGCAGAACCTCAGGCTTCGCTCTCCAGAGCCTCGACCCTCCTTAAGTGTGCCGGTCTGAGGGAGAGGCAGGGGGCGGATGGAAGGCAAGAGGGACACATGACGACCCCTAAAACCTCTGTGACAGATGCTACAGAGCCCCTCTCTACTCCGTCGTCCAGTTCTGCCACTTCCCTAACTTGTAAAGTGGATAAGTCAAGTGTAGAGGAGAGAGTGGTGGAAAAGGTGGAGGAGAGAAAGACAGAAATGAACGAAAGAAAGAAACCATTCTGGCTGGACGACGATGATCTGCCTCCCATCATGTGAGATGCTCTTTTTTGTGTCGTCATGCCTCCCCCTTCTCAGATTTCCCTCTACCATTTATCCGGTTGGAATTGACGTTAGCGTTTATGCTGCTGCCTATTCCCTCACCTGCTCCTTCCTCTCATTCACTTTACTCTGTTATTGTTTTAGGGTGAGCCGGCGAGTTGCTTTTATGTCTGAGGACACTGAGTAAGTCTTTCTGCGTGACGAGATTCTGCATGAAAACAATATTGACACGCTGTGCACGTTTCATTACAAAGGAACATCCAAACACGCTCACATTATGCTCATCTTTGTGTATCATCATTACTAACATGCAGCTTTTTATTGTCATTTTTTTACTTTTCATGTCATTCTCTTTTACACTTTTTGTTTAAAAAAAAAAAAGAATAGTTTGGAAGTATATTACCCAACTATAAGGTTGAGGAAATGGGTTTGTCCTGTCAAAAGAAGTAAGATATGATTGCTCAGTTGCTTGTTGAATTGATTTGTTTGTGGAAACAGCTTACATAACTAATATAAATCAAGAAAATGAGAATTATAATGCAATATTTGTGTTTGGTGGACTTTTACTGGTTGTTTTAACTTTATGCTTCATGTTCATATCTTGTAGACTATCTTTGTCTACATCATCTATCCATTTTTGAAAAAGAGGGCATGTTTCTTTCCTCATGGTTCCACTTCGATCTTAGAATGTGTATTTATATTTATTACATTATTTTTATTTATTTTTATGTATTCATTTATTTAACAGGGACAGTGCACATTAATGAACATTTCTGTAAATGTGCCAGTTAGCCAAGAGGCTATTTTCCATCTGTAGCCCCTGGACAGATTTTAAAAGTCAACCTAAAACACATTTCATTTTTATTGTGTAATCGTAAGTGATCAACACTAACAATTAATTAATTAATTGAATATGTTCTGTTTTGCAGAGCCACATTTGTCCAACTTAATATGCTAAAGTGTATTCAGTCATTTATAAAAGATTATTTTTTTATCTAGGACCGTGAGCATGAGTGACATACTTAACGAGGAAGAGGTGGGACACTTACCGCCGGTGAGCCAATCACGAAACGAGCGCATGCACGAGCAGTACAACAACTCTCAGGAGGACGACGACCCCTGGAGAAACGTAAGACACTGAGTTTGTGAGGTCCATTGCAAAAGAAAAGGGAAAATAGGTTGTGCATCTTATTTAAATAATATCAATGTTATTTGAACATGAATATAACCTGAATCTTCACACTATGATCTCATGACAGGACTTGGCTCGCTGGAAGAATCGGCGTCGCTGTGCGTCACAGGATCTGATCAAGAAGGAAGAAGAGAGGAAGAGGATGGAGAAAAGGATGAAGGAGGAGGGAATTGACAGTAACAAGAGGAAAAGCATTAAAACCTACAAAGAGATCGTAGAGGAGAAGTAAGGATGATATTGATACTCTTTGTAGTGTTGATTGTAGCCCTTAACATGAGATAAACAAATGTAAACCTAGATCTCTGTCAACACGCTAACAATAGCAAAACCATATCAGAAACACTGCCTGGACACCAAATGCTTTGTGTCTCTCTACTTCTCTTGTCTAGGGAGCGCAGAGAGATAGAGTTGTGTGAAGCCTACAGGAATGCAGGGACTCCAGAAGAGGCTGCCATGGTTTTACAGCGCTACGCTCTTCGCTTCACCATCAGTGACGCAACACTGGACAGCTTAAAACTGCCCAGATCCACCTCAAATTCTAAACAGGAACATAATCAGGCGGACAAGGAGAACACATTGACTCCCACTATTGATGACACATCAGAACCGCCGCACAAACCAGAACAACCTGTGATAAAAGAGCAGAGGCACACAGAGCCTGAAGACATGGAGACAAAAATAACTCAACAAGACACGTCAGTTTCGGTCTCCTCCAGCTCCGGGTCACCTGGCAGCCCCCTCAGCCCCGTCACAATCTCAGAAAATGTCCCCCCTCAGTCCCTTAAACTAAATGAGCCTCGAGCCAAACCGACAGAGTCTCCAACCACTCCGCAAAAACCACCAGCTGCAGAAGAAACAAAGCCTCATACCAATCACGCTCGGCCTCAGATTGCTCAGGTGCAGCCTCACACCACACAGCCCACATACACACTCCCCTCCCCCCAACCTGTCTCCCCCCGACCCGTCCCCCTGCTGACAGCCAAACCCTACTGCCAGCCCAGGAGCACACAGTCCGGACACAAACCCGTCAAGGTGAGAGCTTCATATCAGTCGCAGCACTCAGCATCATCTGATACTTCACTGCTCCAGCGCAATGCATGACTGCATGCACTAATGAAAGGAGGTGTCTGTTGTATTTAGGGAAGTGCTAACATTTTAACTTCTTACTCTGTGACATTTCACATATTCTGTCATCTATTTAGTTTTGCATTGTTTTTCTTCTATAATTTTGTGGTTAGATTAACTGAACCCTAAACTTTGAACATAAAGAAGTAGTTCATAACAGTATAACTATGTATTAGACATATATTAAAAACATGAAAAAAAACATCCATAAATGTGTGTTACTGAAAATGATGTGATTCCTGTATCCTGACCTCTATGTGTTTCCCCCTCAGATGGACGGGTTGGTGCGAGTAAATGGAGAGGTGACTGAAGATGTACCGTGTTCCACTCCACCTACCTCTGCTCTGCACTCGCCATCAAAGGTCAAAGATGTTCCCTCAGAGCAGAAGGAGGAAGAAGTTCCCTCCAAACAGACGGAGAAAGACGCTCCCTCAGAGAAGATTTCCACTAATCACGAGAAGGTGGAGCACACGCCTTCTCCGCAGAGAGAAAAGCCAACATCGTGTTTAGGCTCTGCCATCAGCTCCCTGATTGGAGGCAGAAACTGTACCACCACCACCATTATTGTGACCGAGCTCACACATACGGAGCCACATCACCCAGACATCCACAGCAATGGACAGGTAATATCACAGGTAGCATGTTCGTCAATTTAATACACAATTAAGAAAGTCAGAGGTAAGCAGGCGAAGTTATAAAGCAGTCAATAAAATATATAGTTTTTTATGTTTTGAATAATTCCGACCACAAGATGCCTTTGGGCATTAAGTCATAAATATAAACAAAACCTATAAGTCTGATGGGTCCAGTAGTATGTAAGATAAGCTGCACACAGACAGATACACACTCCCTGGCAGAGATATTTATGTTGTTTTCCTACGTAAGTTGTGTCATGGCTCAACGGAAAAGGTGTGAATTGTTTTCATTAATTTTCCATTCAGGTGCATTCAGGCGTTTATGAAAAGCCTTGACACCTGAGACACAGGAGACAGCTGTGAAAAATGAAAGCCAGGGGACAAAATGAAAGCACACAGTTAGACAATTCAATTATGAATGAAGTTACTTGTTGCATTAAAAGGTTGCAGCCTAGCAACTGACTTGAAATCAACCACACAGGGGAGTCCAAAAGAAACATCATTCAGACTTTATTACCACGTAATGAGCATGGATACAGAAATACAGAAGAAGAATACTGTAATGTGCTCATGGAAATAAATCTTAGTCCCCCAACCATACAGTTTTGACATAAATCATAAAAAAGACATAAAACAATTACAATTGTATTTCTAAACACCACTCGCCCAGTTGCAACTTCCTTAGTTTTAAACACCAAATAATGTTTGTTTGCAGTTTAGTCCTTGTTGGCGAACATGAGCCTGAACTGAAAAACTCCTCTCTGTGGTGATTGTTCTATGTAAAGCAAGTTCTGCTCACGTTGATTTGAATATTGTATTTACATGAACTGAAGCCAGCGACTGCCTTAAAAACACATAACAAAGGAAAGACTTCAGTATGCTCATTACATTTGATTTGCACTAAATACAAATACCAGAGCTGTCATTTTTGATGGAAAAAAACAGGAGAAAGAAATCCTTTTAGATCCACCTTTTTAGTGTTTTATTAACTGGTTGAACATTTTACTTTCAGGTCAACGGTACTTCTGGGTTATCCAGTCCAGTGGAGGAGAACAAGTCTCAGTCGGCTACATCATCCTACAGCATGCAGGATTATTCTCCCACTGTCACAGGTAACAGTTTTATAATATAGATCTGTATTATTTCTATAAGCGTATTGATTTGCACTATTTCTATTTATTTACAATTTACAGAAACACTTGACTTGACTGGCTTTCTATATATATATATATATATATATATATATATATACTGTTTATACCGTATATATTTTAAAAGACTATATTATCTAAATAAGTAGTGTTTTTGTCTATGAATATTTATCCATAACAGTCAAATGCATTTTTTGTGTAAAGCAAGCTGAAGTTTATAAATGCTTGTTTAGTTTGACTATGATTATGTATCTCTTATATCTATATCTATATATATATAATATTAGTTTTTTAAATAATTATCCTCTTGTTACGTGTAATACTCGGCCTATAGAGCTGATTCTGATCTTAATGTTGCTGTGTGTGTCGTTCTCCTCCACAGAGGGGCTTGAGGAGAGCAGTGTGACTGTGAGTATCTCTCGGCATCTCCAGCTGTTTTTATTTTCTGTTCTTCCTTCATTCTTACATTTGACCCTGTCCTGACCCTTCGTCTCCAGTAGTCGCTGTTGTCAGACTTGTCCTCTCACCTTTCCTCTCTTTCTGTCCTTTTGGTCCCTATACATGTGTGTGTGCGTGATTGTCGGGGTGGTCTGGGTAGATTGAGACCCCCATGTTGAACTTGGCTAAACGTGTTAATCACTGGGTCTGGGACCCCAATGAGGAACGTAAACGCCTGGAAAGTTGGCAACAGGAGCAGGAGCGCCTCCTTCAGGTACACTGGTGGAATGGTGTGTATGTGCATGGCACTGATAGCTCTAATTATATCTCACTTTCAACATCCTCGATTCCTTTCCTTGCTTCCTTTCCTTACTTCTTCGAGGATGTAGGAGAGAGAAGTGGATGCACAAAATAGACAAATTAAGAGGCATGAATTTACAGCAAAAGCACTGGATGTGTGTGTGTGTGTCTTTATATGTTTACTTCTATGTTATTTGTTGTTATTATTCTGTACATACAGTATTTAACAGGCACAATTTTCTTCTGCAGGAGCAATACCAGAAAGAACAGAAGAAGCTGAAGCAGGAGTGGGAGAAAGCTCAGCTGGAGGTGCAGGAGGAGGAGAGAAAACACAACGAAGAGGTAAAATCACCGACTGCTTTTGTGTGTCCTTCCTAGTGTTGTTATGATACTAGTATTTCTCGCTCAGAACCCTTGAAAAGTATCGGTACTTGATACCATTTTCAATACTATGGTAAAAACATTTAGGGCATTACAAAGCCTCCGACATTGTAACTGATCAAAAGGCATTGAAGTGAAAGTGAAAATGTTATATAATGTTATATTAAACTGGAGCGGATTAGAACAGTGACGAGAAGAGAGCACTGTGAGGGAGTGAGAGGAGGCGGAGGTACGTGGGCAGTGCAGTGATGTGTGTTAACTCGTTGAGAGGACAGAGAGAAAGAAAGTGCAGCTGGTTCTGTTGTAACCATGGAGCGGAAAATAAATGTTGATCAAATATTTCAGAGTGTCCTAACACTAAAAACAAACAACTAACTCAAACCCTACTGCCACTGCGGCACAAGCTAGCTAATTTCATGCAGGATAAAATCCATTGTCCAGGCAATCATTTAGTTTGTGAGTTTATTTTCTTAGGTTACAACGATTATACAGCACAAAGAACAACGGCTATTACGTACTCTCTTGAACTAAAACTACACAAAACAGCAAGAAAAGAAAAGTGTAACAATTAAATATAACAAAACAATGAAAAGTTACAAAAAATTGCCTTACATGATGTGTCTATATTTATTTGTGTACATCTTTCAGGAGAGAAAGATCCTAGAGGAGACGGTGACACCTTTAAGTCCCACCGGCTTGTTAAACCAGCAGCCGGTCCGGACAGGGACGACTTCATCAGCGACAGAAAACAACGCGGCAGAAGGAGGAAACGTTCCTCCACAGCAAAACGGCCAAAGAAGGGAAGCGACCGACGACCAGCATGAATCCAAGCTGCATTTTTTCCAGGGTGAGGAAAATGCAGGAGGTGTCCACTCCACATGTGTGTGCCTGTACAACAACTTCAACCATGTGTTCCTCAGAGTTTCTTTGATGAAGTTTATTTTTATGATTTATTTGTGTAGATTCTCCATGTGATGGCGAGCCTTCAAAGAAACAGGAACTGTGGAAGACGGCCTCTCTGGACCGCAAACCTCAGCTAAACCAGTCACAGTTTGTTAAAAGGTACGATAGGATGCTTTTGTGCACTTTTGTGTAATCATGCTTGCTGCATGACTATCCTAAATATATTTGAAGTTGTTGTTTCCTTTCTGTGTGTTTCTTATTTCACATTTAAGATGTGCCCAAATCTCTTGTTAGTTAAAAAGGCCTGAATAATTTAAATGATATAATGTATAAATATTACCCCTGAAATGCATTTTTAACATATTACAGATGTTTTAAATGTGTATTTATTTATGTTTCTGTTTGTTTTCACCACAGGTCTGAATCACATGATGCTGTAACAAGCAAACCGCAGCCTCCCCCCACATCACCTCAGCCCCCCTCACCCACCAGGTAAAGACGCATGAACACTTAAACACAACAACATGTCTGAAAGAAATGAAGCTGCAGTGTTTAATGGTATCCATTAATGTCTGTTTTCCTGCTGCTGTGTGTGTGTGTAGGTGTGTGAGTGGGAGGAGACTCTGTTCTGGTTGTTCTCAACCGCTGGGCAAAGGAGCCGCCATGATCATCGATACACTCGGGCTGTTTTTCCATGTACAGTGTTTTAAGGTACTGAGTTATTCTACCATTTTTAAAAGTCAGAAATGTTTCACAGTGCGAACACATTTCTGGATTACATCTTTCTCTTTTCTGTAGAATTTTAAAAGTGAACTGTTTTTGTGTATTTCTCTCCCTCAGTGTGCAGTGTGTGAAGGCCAGCTGGGTGACGCCACTGTAGGAACTGATGTCCGTATTCGTAACGGACTGCTGAGCTGTCATGAGTGCTATATCGCATCTCGAGGTGATGCCCAAAAACAAAAAGACACACATAGACTGGCACACATTGGTATATCGTCTTTAATTAGCCCTGAGAAACATCATTTTAAGCAACTATTTGCTTAACCAAACATAATTCGGAACATAGTTGATCCTGCTTTTGGTCACATATCTGTTTTCTAAAGTCATATGAAAACATGCATCTTTTTTCTGATTTCTGACTTAACTTACAGTAGGTCTCTTCTTATATTTGTGAGCCCTCTAACACTTATTCTCTATTCTAAAACTAATGGTCAAGTCTTTTAATTATACAAATAATAATAATTTAAACTAACTCTATTTAAAATGAGGTCAGAGGGTATCAATTTGGGAATGTTTAACAAAGTGGCTCCAAAAGGGAATAATATCACAAATTGTTATTAAAAAATATTTATAAAAGTATGAGAGCAGACTTTAACACTTTTCCATGATGTTTCTATGCAGGCAGAGGTCAGCCCACCACACTATGATGACCTGGATGTGACCTGGAACCCCTCACTATCCCTGTCACTGATTGGCTGGAGAAGAATTTTAGAACCTTGACTCTCATTTTGGACTTTCTGGAATACCTGAAATGCACAAACAGCTTTATGGATGTCACAGAGCAAAACCTGGACTGATATATGGACTGGGTTACAAAACCTCACACATACAGTACAGTACAGCGTGTGTGATTAATAACTGAACACATGTATACACTTTACTTAATATGTGTAGCATGGATGTAATCAAGAAATCGGTGTATTTAGACATGAAGCACATCCATATATAGCACAGTTAAGATATGGCATTACATTTGTCCATCATTCCTAAAGCCAGCAAGGGGAGATTTGCAGCACAGAAATACATAAAGCACATAAACTATATTTTGAAAACAAATTATATGAAAGAATAAGTTATTTCATTTCATCTCCAATCACAATGCTTCCGTAAGAATAAGATAGGGAGTGATTTTACATTTCAAGCCACCAGCCATGACATCATCGAATTATGAAAACGGCAAGTGAGTGAGTTATCATTGCACGTTTATATGGATAAAAGAAGACATGCTAATTCATTTATTGAGCAAATAATAGATGGTAAAAATAACTCTAATATAATTTTCCTTTCATATATATTTTTCATTGCTCTAAATCTCCAAGTGCTCGACCAGAAATGAGGCACAAACTGCATTTATAGACGCTAACATAAGCTCACATGTGATGCTAGAAGCTGAACCACTACACAGTCTCAAATTCCTGATTCATCAACTCTGCTTCCGCACTGATCAAGTGACTGGATTACCTGAAGTAGCTTGACCATTATAATGCCTTACTCATCATAATACTTTCTCATTCTTTTTTGTGTTTTGTGTTTACAGTTTTGCATGAAAGAAGAACATTATATAAGTTATTGTGAGTATTGCTCAGATGGAGTAGTGTGAGTTTGACGTTATCATCTCAACAGCTGAACTTTGACTTTCCTCTTGTATGTTGTACATCATCATGATATTTTTTAATTGCTTTGGGAATCTGGCAAACTTACAACCTTTTTTCTCTTTATAATTAATTTTACAGGAATGAGAATGCATGTTAATAATTATATAATTGTTGTTCTTTGGATTTTTAAATATTTTTCCTTTAGGATGTTTTAGCCATTGTTTATTCTCATAGACTGACTGCATCTGAATCAGTGCCTTATGTAATGAATGCGAGGGTTTGGGTATGTGCCGGAGTGATTCACACTCACACCGACCACTTGGTCTCAGCACATTGTGTGTTTATCTGTCTGTCTGTCTGTCTGTCTGTGTGTGTGTGTGTGTGTGTGTGTGTGTGTGTGTGTGTGTGTGTGTGTGTGTGTGTGTGTGTGTGTGTGTGTGTGTGTGTGTGTGTGTGTGTGTGTTGTGTGTGTGTGTGTGTGTGTGTGTGTGTGTGTGTGTGTGTGTGTGTGTGTGTGTGTGTGTGTGTGTGTGTGTGTGTGTGTGTGTGTGTGTGTGTGTGTGTGTGTGTGTGTATGAAATAATGCATGTATAGATTTGAATGTGATGTCTATTTTGACTTGGAGCACAGTTCCATACCAGCAAAAAACATTTTAAAAGGATCTCCCAGTCACCTGCTGTTCTCTTCCATATCCTCCCATGAGCTAAACCAATGACACAAAGTGATTTGCTGCTTCCCTGTTAATAAATCTCCCGTATAATGACAGTTTCACAAAGCCCTATAATCTCTCCTCATCTGCCTCTATCACAAGTGTTGCCTGCCCAGAGTCTGAGCTGAACGCCTCTCTCCTCTGTGTGTCTCTGAACAGCTGACAGCGTCTTCGTCACTCAGAGGAAGAGAGCGCTCAGTTCTTTTATAGCAAGTGTATGTTTATCAATAAAATATTTTAAATGGGATGCTGTCTGTCTTCTTTTCCCATTAACTGCACTTTAATAAAGACACCATGGTGAAGTAGGTTAGTGATGACTTACCGGTATGTTCTACTCCCTGAGGCTGTGACTCCGGAAAAACTGATTAGATAGAAATACTAATGTTTCCTTGCAATAGTGTAAGAAACAGTTGAAGTCTCTTGGATTTAATATTGGGGGTTTAACATAGTTTATTTTTTACCATAGTGGATCTCCTATTATATAAGTGATGTGCCTAATCTCTTTCTTTCTTTTTCTTTTTTTTTGTTAATCTGCTATGGACTAATCTTGTGCTATTAAGGTTTGTATGTTTGCTTCTTGAGATAGATCAAAAGCAAGTAAAACAAAAATGATAAACCTCATTGAATTACAATATGCAGCATATAAGCACAACATTTAAACACCATTTTGGACACAGGGCAACATTTTTTCCATCAAATTAGCAAAAAACTATTTGACGCCCAGTAAGCATTGAGCTTTTTGGGCACCAAGGCAGTTGGCTGCACTGCCTGGCTGGTAAGCCATGTTTTTCAAACACCGCCCACAATGACCATCAATTTGAATAAAATAAACATCTGGCAAAATCTCAAATTCTTCAACAATTACAGTGTAAACGAGATAGTAATTATTGTCTGTGATAGCCTGTGATATATGGCCAATGGGGATGGAACCCCATTTATTTAATTGACCCTTTAAAGTTAAGACATGACTGATAGAAGTCAAAGGGGAATTTTAAATACTAAAATTGCTGTGTTTTCTTAAGGCATTGTTTTTGATACATTTGAGCAAGTTCTAAAAGAAAAGTAATGGATAAGATAACCTTTGATAATATAAATTGCTGTTTAATGATAAAAGTAATGAATATGTAATTCAATAGTTAATCAAAAAACATGCTTGTGATAAAATATGTGTCATATTTAAATCGTCTGGCTGCCATAAAAGATAGCAATTATTATATTTTTGCTGCATAGGATTGCAGGACAATGTTTTTTGGTGTATCTGCTGGTGTTTATGATCAGCAGAAATCAGGCATTTTATTGAAATTGCGGTATGTATTGTGCCAGGAACCAAAGTTCAACACAGAACGGAAACATAAAATAAGGGGACCGGAAGTCTACTAATATTTTACCACCCCTTTTTTAGCATGTAAGCTAATGTCAGTTTGTTGTTGTTTTGTCTTTTCTTCTTTATAAACGTGGAACATCACAACAAAATGGACTCACGGGGACCCGCACTTTACGCAGTATGTACTGGTTTATTTACGGTAACGAGTTGCTAGATCAACGGTTAGCTTGTTCTGTAAAGGGTTAGCTTGTGTTAGCTAGCCAGTAAGCTAAAAACATCAAAACAAACTACTGTCATCTCTCATAAATGATCACATAGCAGTACTTTAACTGTAAACACATGTACCATTTAGTAAAACCGACATGTGGTCAGTTATCTAGTGGTTTCTCAGCTGTTTCCTGTTTTCAGGGCGAAAGTCAGATTTGTTGTGCAGATTTTAGATTAATCACAACAACATTTTTGGATTCGATTATCTTGCAGGCCAGAAGACTCATCCACAGTTTTCCAATCAAAATGACCATATATTATTCCTCAATTTATGGAATAATGACAACCTTGTAGATTTGAGTTAGAACATTATTTTTTATGCTAGATACATTCTTTATTTACTTTTTTACTTTAATTATTGTTTCGGGGTGTCTGAGCTAACACGCTGTACATAACTCTCTGACGTCCCCTCTAAATGATTTGAGATTTCTACGTATTTTTCCTCTTATTGTATCCGGTTCCTACCTTTATCTGTTTCTATTGTTGTTTTTAATACCATAGTGACGTACTTGTACTAGAGGGTTTCTATTTGTGTGCTAATTATATTTATATTCCACTACCATTCAAAGTAAATAGTATCTTACTCCACTACATCTATCTGACAACTTAAGTTACTTTGCAGATTTAGAATAAAACACGAATCTACAAATAAATTATGATGCAACATTAAAGAGCAGTACTTAAGTCATTAAATAATTTCCACCTTTACCAGCTGCAACATATACAGGTTCACCTTATATATAGAAACATGCAGTTGTATCATTTTTGGTATGTAAATATATGAATATCTTATTTGTTGCAGTTAAATCCCCTTTTCTATAACTATAAACAGACCTACCGTCTAACTTAATGATATGGTGTTTGCTTTAGCCGGCAGGCCCCTCAGTAGATCTATCCCGCAGCACAGAGGAGGACTCTCTGGTGGACGGACCTCTGATCCCTGCAGACGCCCTCCACTCCGCCATCAGGAGAAACTTTCAGAGCGTACCAACACCTGGTCATGCAGGCCTGCTCTCTGTGCTGCATGTAAGTTACACACACAAACATACACAGGCCTTAATGTTGTCGATGTCATTTACATTGTGTATACGTGACTTGTGTTTGAATGAGAGTGATGGGTTCAATAGGGACAGTTTTTACTTTGGAGTCTGTGTGTTCGCTAGTTGTTGTAGATGCACTTTTCAAGACTAATTGCTGAATATGAAGGATATAGCATGAATGAAAGAAGTGTTTATCCAATATACCCTTTTAATCTGGATATTTGTAGTGACTTTAATAGTATGTATGTTTGTATGTGTATCAATAGTCACCATATGTTCTTGCTCTCTTCTTTGTTTCAGGTTGTGTACGTGGTGTTGTCAATGTGTGTGGCGGTGCTGTGTGTGTTGGAGTTTGGCCAAAAGGATGTGTGTAATAATATATTGGGTAACGTGCGAGGCGACAGTGTCATTGTGTTTGGGAAGGTGTGTTTATGGGTGCTGGTGCTGTTGTTCACTGGGTGTGTGCAGCACCACCACAACCAGGCCCGCAGCAGAGGGTACCTGCGCTTCTACAGACAGACGCAGGGCCTGAAGCACCTGCCGCTCACCGTACACTCCGCAGGTACAGACACACACACAAGTTTGTTCTTAAACTTGATTTTGATAAAGATATATCTGATTCATGACGTCCTTTAAATTGCAGATGTGTTCGTACCTGTGTCCTTGTAATGATCAAACCCATTCTCTTTGTAAATGAACAGCATATGATAGTTCCTTATTAGTGTGTCATAAAAGGGCATGAGACTGCAGGGCTGTGCACAAAGAAATTGTAAGGAAAGTTGAGAGACTTAAGTCCAGATTGCCCAAAAGAAAGACATAAACAAAACCTGTTGTGGTAAAAAAGTAAACCAAACAAGCTTACATATCTAGTAGTATTGGTGGTGGACACATTATAATACAAAAAGACACAAAAAGTGTTGACTTATTTAAAAGACCCAAAATGTTGATAGATATAACAAATTATAAATGATGAAAATATGTTTTTGTATGTAATTTGAATTGTATACCATAAAACTGTAGAAACGAAAAAACGAAATGACTAATTATTTAAAAGTGTTTTAACTAGGAAGAAGTTATTTCAAATGGTTGCTGAATAAAGAATGGATTTACTGCACATGTACAGGTCCGCTTTCTCCACAAGATGGCAGTAATGCTAAAGGAAGAACGTGTGTGTATTTCTGTGTTTTTTGCAGGAAATGTTCTGCTGCTGGTGGTTCTGGCTGTGCGGTTATCACAGACTGTGCAGACCTACATGCTGCTCAGCGTCCTCGGACTGGAGCTCCTGATCGCTGTGCCCTGTCTGCTCTATTACACAGGTAAATTCATCCAAGATATTTCAATATTGAGTCAGATATGTTCACTCGAGGGTTGCAGATCTACTCTTCTTTAAAACAGCGGATATATACTTGGTTGATTTAAGTTTTTTTTTTTTTATTTTTTTACTGTATCTATTGGTGGTAAGATTGTACAGCATATACAAACCTCTGCACACATGTAGCCACATAAATAGGTACAGACAAAGCATGATTACAAAAAAAATAACAAAGTAAAATAACAGAAAATTGGGTTTAAATATTGGTCTAAATATTGGAGACTTTCCTCAGTTCTTTTCACATTTTCAATGTATGTATGTAGCCTTTATTTAACCAGGTGAATAAACTGAGTGTTTTTTTTACTAAAACGATGCAGAAATGCAGCATCATTTCCCTGTGGTTGGGGGTGGGGGTTATATCCGTAGCGGAGAGGCACACCCTGTAGATTACATTACACACACACACAAACTCACACACTCATACACTCACTACCCCCCACTCTATCTGAGCAGATTCGCATCACAATACCTGCTCTGCCCTTTTCAGACTCGACAGCATGACAATAAGCCTTTCAGCTCTGTCTCTCTGTCCCTCACTCCCTCCAGTCAATTCAATTCAGTTTGGATTTATCGTCAGGAAAGTTTAGAGAAATAATCCAAATAAAAAAAGACTCAATATGAAATCTCTCCCTCTTCCTCCCTCTCTGCTGATCTGCTTTTTTCATCTTCTGAGCATGCAAACTTTTTTAAAATCTATTCAACTATTGTCTTATTATCTGTGCCTTTTGAGGGAAGGAACACATTGGTTACATTTCAATTATTTCCATCTGACTCCACTGTGTTGGTCACTTGCTTGAAATGGCTTAAAGCTGCAAAAACTCACCAGGGGATTCACACTCGGCCCACACTGTTTCACTTTACATCATTTGCCATGAAAGCGTCACATGATTTGAGAAAACAGGGAACTCCTGACCATTGGGAGAGCAAATATGATTAATGTTATCGAGGTTTCAAGCCTTTGTGCAGTCTAAAGATTCAATAAAACGGTATGAACATGTTGATTTGATTTGTACAACTAATTTAACTAATAGAGTAACCTTGTGAATGAAGTGCTGTTCTGAATTGAGAGCATAGACTCCCACAAATTAAAAACAGAAACACTGGAAAGTATCAAGACATACTGTTCCTTATAATACGCTGCTCACTATTGGAGATATTTATAACTAGCCCCAATTTTCTTCACACAAGTAAAATAGAACAGGGGAAATATCTCATTAAACCTTTGTTAAGTTGTGGTTGTCGATATCATCCAGTGATATGTCTTGTTTTGGTTTAATATACTTTGTCAGGCTATAGACGTCATATTTTTATGTTTTTAGTTGTTCCGACATTTTGCCAATCTTCTCACAAATTAAACACTTTGTAGCATCCTAGAACACTCTAGATTGTAGTTACCTCCCTTTCTATAAAAATGGATAAAGTCCCTCTCTGTTTGTCTGTCCTTGAATTTGATCCACACCTCTTCGTCTGATCATTATTTCACAGCTGTAAAGCTAAGGAGTTAGTACCTATTTTTTTCCAAGAGCATTTCTAGAGAAAGCTTCAAGCAGCAACACCACAGGAAAAGCAATCGTTTTCTTCAAATAGACATGTTTTTTATGGGAACTGATCTTAGAAGATTCTATTGGCATGTTTGCAATGGGACTTTAAAGTGATGTTTATCAAACCCAAATATATCTGTACCTCAAAGTTTGAGATAATTGTTTTGCTATGAGACAAAGTTAAACTGATGGTTTGGTTTTAAATATTATAACCATCAGAGTAAGGCATCAAACATCTTTGGTTTACAAAGCCCTACAGTCGTACATGTATATGTAATCGACAAATAAATAAATCTGCTTTAATGTGTATTTTAGGTTAAGTCCAATCATTTATTGTGTATCTTTTAACAGATCAACTTAACAGTCAATAAACAATAAGTATTTCGACATTTCTCTGTAATGTTGGTTGACGTCCATTATACCAGCCCTGCTCTCAGTAAAGGAACGCTTCTAATCAAGAAGTTGCATCACAGGATATTGATATATAAGAATCTGTATTGAAAGGAAATCCATATTAAAGGTGTGTTTGGCAGCTGAGGGGCACAGATTGAGGCTCCAGATACCAGAGAGGCAAGGAGAGAAGATAAGAGGCATTAGGATATAGCCTAGCCAAAGGGTAGACTTGGACCTGCTCCACCCAAACACACACACAATCACACACACACTTACACACACACACATTGTCCCCGTGTTTACAGTGAGGGGGATCCAGTGTGGGACGGGGGTATCTGTGTTCGCCGCCACATTCCTGCTCAGATCAGTGCAGCCAGGCACAACGCAATCCGAGCGACGCCTCGCAGCACAAACCTTTTTTAAGCATGCTCACACACACACACTCACACACACACACACACACACACACACACACACACACACACACACACACACACACACACACACACACACACACACACACATTCTCAGACTGATGCAGAGTCAAGGTGACATCAGAGTTCATGAAGAGGAACAAATACTTGTTTTCTAGAGGAGAGACAGAGGACAGATATAATGCCTTCAGCTATCAAGTCTATACAGGAAGGCCTCGTTCAACTTCTCTTTGAAGTGCCTGCTCATTGTAAATGTGTGTGAGTGTGTGTTTGAGGTTTGCTGTATGTTTCTGCCTATCTCATTTGAACATGAATGCTCTCCTATATAGACCTCCCCTGCACATCAAAGCCGTTCCTCGGCCTTCAAAGGCTCAACTTCGAATACTTCTTTCTCCTCTGCCTCGCCAGAACTCAGTATGAGCCCTGCAGGGCACGGGGACAACACACACACACACACACACACACACACACACACACACACACACACACACACACACACACACACACACACACACACACACACACTAACAGTAACCTTTGTGTGTCTTTGATAAATCCGAACTAACTTAAGTCAAACCGTAAAGCAGTTCCTCTGTTATTGCAGCATTGTTTTAACACTCATGCTTCCCCACACTATGCTCACAGCATGTATGTCCTGTATTCATTCGTCCTCAGGTGCTTAGACATCAGTTCTATATACTAGAAGTTTTGAATGTGCGTTGCTGAACATTGCTCTCCTAAGGTCACTTTTCCCACATCTCCATCCTCTGCACGTGACACAGGATCATGAGCAGGATATCTTTCTCCCACCTGACTGTAGACCTGCATACATTTGAACTCCTTTCATGTCCCGTGTTGCAGCTAATGTGGTCACACCGCTCTTCTCCTTTGTCTTGTGTCAGGCTCCGTGATTTTTGGGATCCATTTCCTTCCAGCTCTTTGACTTTTTGATCCACGCATTGCCGAGTTGTGAGCACTACATGTGATACCATTAGCTGTTAGCACCTCTGCAGCTCTACTGTAATCACCTGGAAATGTGCACTTCATAATGTGTGATTGATCTGGGGGGAGTCTGAGCACTGTCTGTGTGAGTGTGTGAGAGTCTCTAACAGTGACGTGTGAAATGTGTCACTCCCTTTACACTGCTCGCTCCGTCCATACGTCCATCTCTGTTTGAGCCCCCTGCTCTCCACAGACTGACCTCTTCGGGGAAATGAAGGTTTCTCAGTGTAACATTACACAACAGTCGGTATCACTAACTACTGTTGCACTGATGCTATCAATAAAAGCACTTCAATATAGTGATAGGCCTAGTTCAATAAACGAAATCAAGGAAACACTAAATCATAATACACACATCCAAGGCATTATTTCACGGATAATTACAAGATGACAAATCATTAAACGCATGTGTTTCACTCAAAATCCCCAAGTAAAAAATGTGAGTATTGCTGATTGCAATGAATCCTTTTTAAACAAAGAAAGAGGAAGTTTAGGAAAGATAGGTGATGTGTTTTCTTTTAGCGTTGTTACTGTGAGACCAACCAGTGCCATAATGGAAAATGTTTGACATTGCTATAACCTTTGTAATAACTGTTTTGTTTTTTTAAAGCCACAAAGACCACCGGCTGAAATGCATGCAAAATATCTAGCGGACAGCTCGAATGTCAGAGTTTCTGGATAATCCTTGCATAAATTGTAAATTTGCAAATTAAATTCATGATTTTGTGGAGCTATCAAGTTACTATATGCAAACTGCAACATACCTTCTAGACATTTATTAACTAAAAGATTTTAAAACAGCTGAGCCCAAAAGTAGATGTTTCAATCAAAGTGTTACCAAACAATGTAAGCTGCTTTATTGTCATTTATATTTAGTTAATTACAAGCAGACCTTTTAGGAATGTCTCTCTCTCTCACACATACCTGCTTACTATTGCTGTATTTACACTCACAAACACACACACGCACACACATACAGTCACAGATTTAGGGCCTCATTATGCAGGAATGTGTAGTATTTCTATAGATTGTGTGTGATTGTGGATGCTGAGATGCTGCACTGCAGCAAAGTAAAGATAGCGCTCTTTAGAACCTCCCTGACAATTTCCTTTTGGCTAATGACGCTCAAGTCTTATCAATACTCAGCAACCCCCCCCCTCTGCCCTTCCTCACACGATCGACCCTGCAAACTCACACACACAAACACCACGGCCTTATCTTGATTCGATATTTCTGTCTCTCGGTAGCTGGAGGAGGAGAACCCCACACCTTGCTGCTAACCACAGCTGTATGTTTAGGGTGGGAGAATTAGAGGTTTGAGTGCAGGATATGGCAGCCCATAAGGTCTAAGTGCAGGATATAACAGCCTGTGTGTGTTTAGGAGAGGGAGAGGGACGGAAAACAGTAAAAAAACAAATGTGTTCATCTTCTCACCTGAGTGGTTAAGTGGCAGGACACCTCTCACTGCTACATAATGTCTGTATGTCTTTATGTGCAGCTAACAAGATACAACACTGGCTTTGAGGTTGAGGAAAAAAAGGTAACTGGAGATTTTCTTGTTTGTGGTTTTAGTCCAGGTGATGCGGTTCAACAGGGAGCGAGCTGCACCAGACGTGAGCCAAGAAGAGCATTCACACAACTACAGTGTGACCAGCCTAACCACGGAGACCGGCTTCAGGTACACACACACACACACACACACACACACACACACACACACACACACACACACACACACACACACACACACACACACACACACACACACACACATAATGTCCCTTTTAAAGACATGCACCATGTTATTCTAAAGTGCTGAAAAGATTACGTCACTCTACAAAAACTCTGCAAACGAAATGTTTCTACTCTAAATAAAGTGCCCGTACACATTCATGGTGACATAATAACATATTCCCCTATTAAACAGTGTGGTTCAATAGTTAATAGTATTTGGAGATGAATGGTGTTGTATGGTACACAGGAATATACTGTGAGGCTTTGGTAACACCAAGTATACTTAGTCACTCAAAGGGTTTTTCATCTTGCGATATTTGCATTTTTCTTGCCACTTTTGTAGCTTCCTCTTATGTGTACCTACGATATGGCCCCTGGTCACTACGTTTTAATAAAGGATAACGCTATAAGAATCCAGAACAAAGCATATAGAAAAAACAGGCAGAGGGCCTTGTCTCTGTAGATACAGATATCATTTGTTTGATAGGAAATCATTGTGCTTTTGAGCTCATTTATTAATGGTTTGTGAACAATAATAAGATCTAGAGTATCCCCCGCTTTACCCATAAGCAAATTGAAGCTAGTGAGGGTGCAGATTACAAAAAGGCTTTTTCTTGTTTTTATTTGTGTCACAGAGAGGGCTCCAGTCTGGAGGAGGTGGTGGAGAAGCAGGCCGACCTGATAGAGTACCTGAAACAACACAACATCTTACTGAGCAAGAGGCTGCTAAACCTCACGGCTCAGCACTGACCACCGTCCCTCCTCCTCCTCCTCCTCCTCCTCCTCCTGTGAACCCGATCATTTTAACACTCCACTCTCCAAACACAAAGGAGAGAGGGATCTGTGGGTCTCAAAGAGATGAAGAGAAGCTAGAAGAAACACTGGATAAGAGACTAAAAGTAAGGAAATCCCTGTGCACACAGTCTTAAGACGGCAGGGCTCCTCCACGAGGCACCTGAGATGGACCGATAACGCAGGAGGAGGCGAGCTGTAAGTGGAGGACAGTTAAAGAGGCCAAGTGGGAGGAGGAGGAGGAGTCATGGGTCACAGATCAGAGGTGAGGGGTTTTTATCGCTGTGTTACGACCCCCGGTGACCCACGTATGCTGCCGCTTGTGTTACTGTGAGAGAAACGGAAGAGGCTAAACTGTTTTAGAGATCACCTGCACTGAGGAGGAGCAGAGAGGGTGGGAGAAACAGGAGGAGACAAGAAGCCGTCACTTAACAGGGTCAACAAAAAATAAAAAGAGGGATTGTGTAACGCTGTAAATGTCCGTAAGTGCTATTTTAACTGTCTGGATGTGTCAATGCTTTATTTGGTTGCAGTTTTTTCTATCTCCTCAATCATTGAGTTTGTGTCGTTGTGATCACATATGAATAAATATGTAAAATACACATTATACTTTATTTTATTTATGTTTAAACCTTTTCAGGAGTGACTGTTGACACAATACTGCAGTGAAACACAAGTAAGTGCGGCAGGGTTTTGTTTATGTTTGTATAATGAACAGTTACAGAAAGGGCTCGATCAATAGAGACACTAAAGCGTCAACATTAGCTGGTGGGAATGTGTTATCCCGCCTCGGCTCTTCTGTGTTGAGTTTCAACAGTCACAGGAATCTACGTTAACGAAATATTGAGGTCGTCATTTGAGCCATTGGTGTTTGCGCCCCATTGTGATTTCTTTATGCTGTGGCGTCCGTAACTCCACAGGGAGCACTGCATTTACGACTCCTTTCTCATGTGACTTCTCCTGGGAGCCCGGAGTCATCTGCAGTACCAAAGTTATCAGCAGCCATGTTTGATCTCAGGCTTTCACGCTACACATTTAAAAATTAACTAAAGGTCCTTTATTAAAGGTAGTCTAAATGTAATTGGTCTGCTATACATCCTAGATTTTACAATAATCATCAATCACTTTGTTATTTTAACATATTGTCGTTATCAATGAATCTGCATTTTTTCTTCTAGATTAATTTTGTCAATTGAATGACAGAAAAGAGTGAAAAACCTCAATCAGGGTGCATCAAGGTTTAAGGAAATGCCATTTAATGTCCTTTTTGGTCATTTTATAACCCAAAGATATTCACTTTGATGTGATATAGATAGAAAATGTATACATCTCCTTATGTTAGAGGCTAAAAATGGGATTTTCTTTGCCATTTTTGTATAAATAGTACATACTATTACTAAATGAAACGTTGATTAGTTGACTTATCATTGCAACTGCTTTTTTAACACAGAAACACAAATAGAAACAAAATGTTACATTGATACAATTTTTATTAAAAAGTTAAACACATAATTCAATAAACATTTGAAGTGCATACATGCATTATAAACACTTTGCTGTTCATCGTAGTTGCAGTCACTAAGATGTTTCCAGCTCTTTGGTCCGTAGCTTTTTGTATATATTTGATGTTGTTGCAGCTCCTTTTCCATAATCTTGTTCCATACAAAAGTATTGGCTTTTGACGAAGAAAAAGAAAGCTGCTTGGGATCCGTATCCACCAGGATGCCCAAACATTGCATGGTTTATAGTGAGTGGAATGAGGACAGTTTGTTTTAGCTCTTTCGTAGCTTCATATACACATGACAGTCTTCGGATGGCATATTCATGGTATCTCCTCCACTTTACAGTCTTGTTACTGGGACCCATCCATGGTGTTTGGGCCACACACTGCAGATGCTTCTCTTGTTCTGTCCTTAGGTCCCCCTCATTTTTGAGCTTTAACCTGTAATAGAAAAAAGGAATTTAGTGTCATACTATAAAAGAGTTCAGAGTGAGACAAAAACAAGAACAAGAGTGCAAAAATTAAACCTGAAACCCCCACCTTCCCCAGCCCCAACTCTCCTAATGGCACTTATGCCTTCCCCTTCATCGTTAGTGAGATTTATGTCGGAGCCTTTCTCCCCCTGCACTCCTGTTCTGCGTGACTACACACCTCTGCCACTAATCACACACACCTTCTTAAATGCCACCTGCCGGGTCTGTAACCCTGTTTTGGTCCCTGCATCACACAGCCCGGCTCATAACCTTTTTACACAGAAACACATGAATGGGTGCACATGTCTTACCTTAGGGAAAGGGTACTCTGGAGTGGAGAGGCATGCAGCGTCTGTGTGGGCAGTAGTGGTGTCTGTGGTATCTCCTCCTAAGTTTTAGGAAATCTAAAAAAAAGAGAGACGATTAATTTAATATGCAGAACAAAAAGCTACTTGAACAGACATATATTCACCAGAAAAAGATGTATGACCATCACGAAACATAAAACAGCTACTTAGTAACTCAACACAACAGATTAAATGTGGAAACAAGAAGAAATAGCCCATAAACTTGTCTGGTCTCATGGGCTAATCGTCTTATAATTCACCCGTGCATGTACCCGCTAAATACTTTTTTCAAATGTTGAAACTGCTGGCATGATGTAACTGTTTGAATAATGGAATTGTAGGTGTAAAAGTCCCTAATAAGCTACATTTATGTCTGCTGGGGGACCTCTGCATATCACCTGACAGGCCTAATTAATCCCATATTGAGCAGGGTAACGCCTGAGATGTATAGGAAGTATAACTTTGAAACTAATAAAGCCTGTCTTAGTCTCTGTTGACCATTGATAAGCCCTTTTTATTAGTTTTTTACTGTTTGGGCCCATTTACCAACAGCAGGGCACCCCCTTTTAATAAACTGGGACATACAGACCTAACACATGATTATTTTTAAACGTCCCTATAATAAATCCACTTTGACTCCTGTGGTTCACAGACTGCTGGCCAAGCCCAGGAAGAGATAAAGTGCCAGATGACTTTATGACTCCCTCTCTTCCTCCCCCCTCTCTCCTCCCCTCTGAATGAAACTGCTCCCCACGCCTGAAGGTAGGCTTCTTTACACTTGGCACTGCTACTCCATGTCATGTTAATAAAGCTCGGGTATTTGCATGGCGTTTTAACACCGTGATTAACAAAAGCGCGCCGGAGTCCCTTCCAGCCGGGGACAAAGAGACTCTCTGGGGTCGCTGACTGTGCGATCCCCGGCGGCGCTTTGCTCCCGTCCCTCCCTCCTTCTTCCTCCTCTCCATCATCACATGAACCTAATCACGACCTCAAGCCCCGAAGCCTCTCTGTTTAACAACCGCTGTATGTCTCCACCGCAGATAACAGCATTATGCGCACCTGTTACGCCAGGCATGAGCAGCCTGGTATCTACTTTTCCAGTAATAAGAAAAACAACCTAACATTTACATAGTGATTTTAACTTGTGAAAATAATATTAAAGTAATCCAAAAGTGAGTTATGCATTCAAGGCTTGTTTGCAAAACGGGAAGTAGGCCTACTGTAAAGGCAAATGACCCCCTTTCTGTTCATGTCGTTACCCGAGACATAGGCTATGATGTCCAATGTAAATATGCCTAGGTGTTTTGTGTATGGCTTTTTAGCGAGGTAATGCTACTATTTTTGTGTAAGCAAGGCCTTACTATTAGATATCATTTACATGTAACGAAATGGAAGCTATATTTTCAGTTATTTTGTCGTCATTTTGCTGGGAGACGGTGACCCTCGTAAACGCGCCACATAGTGAGCAACGTCCCGCCATGATGATTAATTGACGGTGCATTTTTTCATTCTCTTGGTAGGCTATAATATCACACTTGTATCGTGAGAGATATTTATTTATTTTAAGTTGTACTTTGTTCAATGTACAATGATTAGGTTCTGGAGTTTCCCCCTTGGAAAGTTAAGATAGTTAATGTTACCCATTTTAAGATGAAAATTAGTACTGTTGCTATAGTTACTTCTTTACCGTAGATCGCGGAGTGATTTAGAAAGCTGTTATAACGATTTAGCTAAATTAACGTTCCAACTTGCAATATAGGCCCTACTGATTTGAGAGCATCCTCACCGGGCTAAAACGATAACAATTCTGAAGTATGTTATCAAAATTGACCCCTTCGCCGGTTTTAACGAAAACTTGCTGAAACAGTTGGGATATCTTGACCGGGTAAAGATTAGCGATGCTTACCTGGTCTGGCGGAGGAGACTGATGTTAGAAGGGCAACGAGCAGCAGCAGCAGGTAGAGCAGGTTGAAGACCCTCATGGCTGGGCAGAAGTTCGCTCCTGAAGAGGTCAGTGAATGACAATTTTCCAAAAGTCTGGAGAGTCCCTGTGACTGATGATGCTCAGTGTGGTTCTCCTTTTTCTCCTGCTCTGTTTCAGTCCAGATTTAGAAGGCCAACCACGAGAGGATCCAGTACTTTCCAGAAGCACCTCTTCTCTCAAGATAACAAGTAGGTCCCAGAGGAATGTGTGTGTCCAAGTGTTTGTGTGTCCAGTGAGAGTGGGATCGTCTCCAAAGCCTGAGAGCAAAGTGACAAAGGTGCCTATTCCCCCCACCTCCTTTATATGGCTTTTAGAGGGAGGGGGCAGTATTTGGGGGGGGGGGGGTGTAGCTCCCACAACCGCCCCCACCTCAACCCCTGACACACACACACACACACACACACACACACACACAACACACACACACACAACACACACACACACCCACCACCACACACACACCACACACACACACACACACCACACACTTAAGCATTGCACATATTGACCCCACATGTAGAGGGTAATTCAAACGACAGGAAGCCCCCCCTTACCCTCCAACTGCCCCTTGAACACACTTTCCTGCATGCAAGTTTAATGCAAGGTTGTGTGTGTGCAACAAGCAATGTTGATTTATCACTTCGAAAATTAGAACAAAGATTTAAGAATTTGTGGATGGAAGTCAGTGGCCGGATGTAGCTAACTTCATTTTCCAAAGTACTGTATTTAAGTAGAAATGTAATGCAATTGTACTTTATTTTCGTTATTATATTTATATTTTTTCGTTTGCATATTTCATGCAACTTTATACTGTTGTGAAACTGCATCTCACAGGCCAATATTAGCTTACACATAGCTTGAGTTACTTTGCAGACTATATTTTTCCTCACTTTCCTGTTCAGTGCCTCCAGATGTGTTGGATTTGAATGTTTCTTAACTGACGGATGAAATGACCCTTTATGAGTTGAGACCATTTCCTTACTTCTTAAGCAAAAACAGAAATTAAAATGTTAAGGATCATGGCAGATTTTCTGATCTCATGAACTTTTATAGATATATGATTCTCACAGGACAGTAGCATTTCAAATAATCGGTGATCTTAAAGAATATCATGCATAGCTGTAGATAAAACTACCCAATAACACATACATGAGTTAAATATGAGTAAAGATCTACAGCAATGAAATGTAAAACATATTAAAACCGCATTCATACTAATACAAAAACATAATATTTGATAGTTAAACATTGAAAGTAAGCATTTTAGACCTTTATTTAAGTATTTTGTTTGGAAGTACTTATTTCAGTACAAGATCTGAATACTTCTTCCACCATGTTGAAAGTAGCAGGTTCTTAAAGACGGGAGAAACGGATCCCTCCTCTTCAGTTGTCCCCTACCCCCGCACCGGGGAGGACACACATCTGGAGCTTTTGGGTGGTGGTGGTGGTGGAGGGGTGTGTTTGCACCGAGCATTTGGGGGCCGGGGTCGTGATTGAATGAAATGCAGTGATGCACTGGACTAACGATGCTCAAAAAAGTCTGACTGTCTGTCTGGGAAGCCGTCTGTCTCTGCCGCTCTGCATGACTCTCTGTGTGTGGGTGTGTTTGTAGATGTCTACTGGAAAGATTCCCTGATTTGAAAATATAGTGACGTTATTTAATTTCTCCCATTTTTGAAAACTGTTAAGTGCTGAAAGAGCAGGGGATTACAACCTTTTTGTGATGATTGAGTAAAGTATTGAAAGGTAAACTGGCATCAAATGTCTTGTTTATTACTTTTAAAATATTATTTTATCACAAATGTCCCAATTTAGAATCAAGATTTTGACCATTTTAGGCTTTTTTTGGAGGCAAAGTTAGTGTACAGCTGCTTGTATTTGGACAATACTTCATTATCTTTGATTTTCTAAATAGTGGCTTTGTAGAAAAGTAGTTTATTCAAGTCTAACTGCTCTAGTTCTGAAATATTGAAACAAATATTGAAATAATTCCCAGCGCTGCCCCTCATGTCATGCAGGTGACATTCCAGTTGGGGTAAACCAGGGGTTTTTCTTGCGGCAGGTAAACCAGGTCACTTGGCGCGAGCTCTGCGTAACTACTGCAAAGTGTTGGGACTCATTAGCGTGTCTGCTTACAGCCGTCTCTGTGGACTGAGACTCTCCATTCAGCACACAGCTAATGAATTAACACATTAAGATGAAATGTCAGCCATTACATGTGAATGAGGATTAGAGAAGCAGCAGGACACTAATGGACCAGGGGCTCAAAACAGTCTCAGAGACTTTGAACAAGCATCTGCACCATTGGCTCTCTTTACTCTTCAAAAATAGACAAAAGGAGTCTCTCCGCTTTTTCTTTTTGTGGTGTGTGTATGTGTCAGTGTCATGTCTCCAGAAATGTTGCCTTTATTGCTTTATGGTGTTTGCAAAAATGTTGCTGGAAATAACAGAGATTCCTCATGGATTTGGCTAATGTACAAACACACACACACACACACACACACACACACACACACACACACACACACACACACACACACACACACACACTGGTGTACACACACATTCATCCTGCTGCAAACATTCAGCCAAGGTATGTAGTACGCTTCTGTGGCAAGCTGCACTTTGCATATCAGCTGCCATTGTCTTTTAAAAAAGTTTTTTCCCTATTTGAATATGCTAATGTCGTCTCAATTGTCATTCAGAGCCACCTGGTATCCACGGCATCCAACTGCTGCCAGTTTCAGTTTGAATCGGCTTCGCTCTCTCTGCCCCGCAAAACAAAAACAAGTGAATCATACCAAATTCTCCCCACCAGGTTTTCTGTCTGACTGGGTAGAGCGTGTTGTAATATTTGCTCTTCCTGGGGATTATACGTCTTTACAGGGATTACCCAGCCTGCTCAAACACTCCCCTACGTGAGACACACACACACACACACACACAACACACACACACACACACACACACACACACACACACACACACACACACACACACACACACACACACACACACACAGAGGGCAACCTCCTCTTGCTGCTTCAGTAACTTAGCAGGGCTGCCCTGCGTAAATGAACCTTGCTCCACTGTTCTGTGATAATGAGCGTTTTCCACCAGATTTGTTAAACCTGTAAAAGGATTATAACAATGTCAGTCAGAATGTTCTAGAATCAAAGGTGATGTCCTCCAATGACTTGTTTTTTGCTTTAAACAGTCTTCAAATTGACAAGCGATCAACACTTTTTTTAAATAATAATTTAAATACTTTATTGAGGAAATGTTCCTTAAACTAACTGGATTCACAAATTTAAAACATTTGAAAATGGCTTTTTTTCTCTGTTTTGAATCATTGTTTATTTAATAGACTGGAGTTTTTAGCCGTTGGAAAAACCAATTGAGCACATTTATAACACTCAGGGCCTTTTAAACCATTTTTCAGACACTTTATAAACTGACTTATTGAACTACAATTTGAAGACATAAATCTTCAAATTCGAGATAATTAGACTGATCGTTTTATGCAATCTAGTGTCAGGTGTTGTATTAGCAATACTATCAAAAACGTTTACGTCACTTTATCACTAGTATTGATCGGACTACTCACAATGAGCTCTTATCCCTCAATATCTCTTACTTTAATACAGTTGAACCCAACAGGCACAGTTCACATGATGACTGCAGAATGAATATCTGTAATCAGAATATTAGACGTCAAAGCTCTGCTGAACACTTGAAAATGTCATTATTTTTGTATCATTCAGTTAAATGTGAGGGTACGAGTGAAATAGTGTGCAATATCCCATTAGTTATTTCCTGTTTGGTCTCTGTCCTGTGTAATTCAGGAAGGAGTTGGACTGCTGTTATTGCTTCTGCTATATGAGTGAGGGTCTTCTTAGTAGCTGTGATCTTTACAACCACAGAGGAAGCTTCAGCCTCTCCTCCCCTCCTCCATTTTCACTTTATTCTTCCTCTCCCATCATCTCCTGAACAGGACACAGATAAAGAACTTCCTCTTTGATAAAACTTGTTGAGAGGAACAGTGCCTCATAAAATGACTTTCCTTTTCCACTGAGCAGAACTAACATTGTACACAGTTGCACTTGTACACAATACTTAATTACATACAGAGGTCAGAATTAAAGGAAGACAATACTTCACTGGTGGTCAAGTAATTGTGTGTGAGCTTGTTGGTGTGTGGTTGCATGAATGCATGGTTGAATGCGATGCAAATCAATCCGAAATGATATGTATATTTTCAACATAAAGTCACCCAAATGTCTCCTTAGAGCCCTGGACAGACACAACAAGTTGTTTAATTGGGTCACCTTTGGCCCTGGGAAATTATGATGGGAAATGTTTGGATTATTCGCTACCTTTTTACTGTCACACATGAATCAATTCATCGATAAAATATTTGTTTGCTGTCGTATAACATTTTGCATCCCATTGTTGAAGATGTTATCAATGTAGCCAATATCCATGTCTTACACATCTGATTTTACACTTGTTGGAATCTATCTTGAACTCCAATGTTTGATGGCCCGTTTTATGTAGTGATGCAAAACCAATTGAAAAAATCAGAGAGCTAGAAAAACAAATCCTATGTTGTGTGTTGACCGTATGCACTCCGTCACGTGGACACAGAGGAGACTGTAGGTGAGCAGCAGAACTGTTGTATGCCTCGATGTCTGTATTTGTTGGGGTGTAGTCCAGTGTGTATACGAGAGATGATTGTGATCTGATGGGTCAGTTCGTTGTCCATCGTTAGAGTGATAGTTTCTCTGTTGTCATGCCATACAGGTCGTCAGTGATAATGAGGGCTGCAGCCAGCCAGAGCTTAATTACTCTTAAGACCCTTTATCTCAGATTGCCCAATACAAACCTCAGTATATACACATGAACAGCAGTGAACACCCAATCCACACACTAATAGTATGGACCATCAGGCTCTCACAAATAGGGCGGGCGTTGTTCTTTTCTTCTTCTAGTCCACGAAGTGGAGAAATACATAGGATCTCACGACGGTTGATTAACTTCGCCTTTATTCTGGAGCTCCTCCTCCCCTCCGCGTCGGCAACAAGACGGCTGACTGCGGAGGAGTGACGGAGGGCTCAGGGGTCAAGGGGCAAACTCAACAAGGAGCAGCCTTTAACCCCCCAGGATGTCACCCCAACAGGGCTCGAGGGGCCAAAAGTCACTTGGTTTGTTAAATCCTAACCCAGACACAGCGGCTTCTCTGGACACACACCCTGGGTCTATGCAGCGGCTTGGTGCTTTGTGGTTTTCAGACCATCAGTTGATGGTCTGCACACACATACACAAAGGACATAGAGAAAAGTATCACACATTTCTTTCTGATTGAACTTTTGTCAGGGTGCTTTTCAGTGGAATGTCAGGTTTTGCTTGCCCACAAAATAGCATTTGTATGTGAGAATATTTCACAGCAATCCAGCTACACAAGATTGTAAATACAACTAATAATTTGAACTAGTGGGTGCGTTTTCTATCATGGGAAATCTAAATGACATTTTGTTCTTAATAAAACATTGACCAATAAATAACTAACATTTGCACCAAGATACAGGACCTACAAATTGTGACTGAAGACAAAATGTAGATTTTGTGTGTGTGTGTGTGTGTGTGTGTGTGTGTGTGTGTGTGTGTGTGTGTGTGTGTGTGTGTGTGTGTGTGTGTGTGTGTGTGTGTGTGTGTGTGTGGCCTAGCATTACTATACTTTTGGGGACCTAAATCTGTTTACACAGTCACGTGCGGGGACTCGCCTCCCTTATGGGGACAAATTGGAGGTCCCCATAAGGGGAATCATTAATTTTAGGGTTAGGGTTAGGCATGTGTTGGTTATGGTTAAGGTTAGGATAAGTCTCCAGGAAATGCATGTAAGTCAATGTAATGTCCCCTGAAGTGATGTATACATGGTGTGTGTGTGTGTTGTGTGTGTGTGTGTGTGTGTGTGTGTGTGTGTGTGTGTGTGTGTGTGTGTGTGTGTGTGTGTGTGTGTCTGAAGTGTGTGCCACAGCTGCAGCAGGTGTGTATGACTGGTGGCAAATAGATTGGTACATATGTAAATACTAAAGACACATTTGCAGATTTAGAACATTTTAATTTAACAAACTCAAGAGGGACAAACATTGGATTCAAGCATTTGCCACACAGTACATTTGAATTGAAATTGTCACAAGTGTCAGTTTTAATAACCCAACTTTGTATAAGACTGACTCAGAGACTTAATCATTATAAACACGTTTATTGTTACCATATTTTTGGAACAATCACAGCTACCTTTCAATGCAGTTCATTTTGAGTCATTCATGAGAACTTTACATTGGAAGCCCTGCAGTACAGCAGATCCAGACAGAGATCTCGGAATGTGACCTTATGGTTTCTTTCCAGCTTGTTTGTTGATCACTCTCTGCTTTGTGTTTAATGGCTGTGACTTCTTTGCTTCCCTGCCACAGTTTTCTGAAAGAGACCAGACATATTGTTCATTACGCAGCATGAGAAAAGCGGACGTTTGTCTGGGTGTGTCTGACAGCAGGGGAGGAGTGTTTACCTGGATGTTTTGCTTCTGGTTTGATGCAGATTGAAGCCAAGCTGAAGAGGGAGACGATGAAGAAGGCGAAGATGATGAAGGTAAGCTCAAAACCGTTGAACGGCAGCGCCATCTACACAACTAGCAAACACAAAGCACGTCATTACATTATGTAACATCTCCACACTACGATGCCTGACACAGAAACTAACAAATCATATTCTGTGATCCTATTATGTTGACTTTGTTTATGCAAAAATAGTCTAAAAGAGATAAAGGAGGGATACTTCTTAATCTTTTTATATTTAAAAAGTAGCAGTTTACATAGTGGCATACATTCCTTTACATTCTGTAAGTCGGTCATGAATCAACCCATGGACAGATCTATTTTAATAGGTTTCTATTGGCTTAACTGTCCTTCAGAAATTAAATAGTTGTCTTGCTCATTCCATATTGCAAACATGTGCATATGAAGTTTTTCCAATATGCATTAATTAAAAGTCTTACATATAATCCAAGCATGATATGTTTGCATTTAGCAACATTTAGGATAAAGTTACTTAAATATGTATAACGTAATGTAAATATTGCTCAATGAATGATCTAGGGCTCGGAGATGATTCAATATGATCATTTATTGTCTTCCAATGAAATAATAGGAAATCGTACAGCAAGATATCTTGATAAACAATTACATTTACTTGATTAAAGTATTACCAGGCAAAATCCGTTTTCATCTAAACTGATGTAAAAACCAATTAAATTATTGCATCACAATTTACTTTATCACTCAAACAAACTGGAATGTCTAGTTGTTTTGTTTGGTTTTGTCTTTGCACGTGCAACCAAACCAGTTATATCCTTGCACATGTCAACCAAGAATGTGCTGCTGGGAATGTGTTACTAAACTACTTTCTCCACTTAACAAATCTGAGAGGTGAGCAACGCACAGAAAGATTGCTACTGGCTCAAACACATGTAGGAACATTAGGACTTTACTTGTATGGAACTCATATTAAACTACAGCTTATTCTGTCAATAAACTAAACAAAAATAACTCAAATAAATGCATTTCTCTGCACATATGCCAATGTTTTGCATACGTAAAAATATGTATTTTATAGCATTACTGTTTACACACAGCTTGAGGTGCAGTAGCATGTAGCTTCCACCAGAGGGCATCACATCCTTGCTTTTTGTAACTAAGTCAGTCATTTGTTTTTTTATAATGAATCATGCTTTCCAGTCTACATATCCTGCTCAGTTGTATCAGTTTACCATATTTGAACTCATAATTAGTCTCTGTTTACATTAAGGATAATTACTTACGTTCTTGATAACACTTTGTGGCTTTATTTCATTACAGAATCTTCTTCTCATTCAGCCTGAAACCTTGGAACAATCTACTTCACTTAATCTAAGCAGTATCAGATACTGTGTTTAACAATCACAACCCTAAGAGATGCACTACAGTATCATCGTATGAGTGACCGGTTGGAGGCATAAATAAAACATTTGGGGTTGAAATCAAAGAAAAAAGTTGAGTGACAGAAGTTTGTTGAAATGTTCAGGTTAAGTTTACTTCACACATTTCTTTAAATTCAGTGTATTTTGGGATCAGACCTTTAACCTGACCATATTAAACTACCTGAGCCGGTATCAACGTCACACCATGCAGTTATATCATCACTGCCAGACTGAATGATTCATATTGGCCTGTGGTTCACACACTTCTAAATCTAAATCTTCTAAATCTTCTAAATCTGCTCATGCTGCGTAAGCTCCACCGATTGATCCTTGATGTCTGAAAACCACCTAAACCCTTCCAGCACACGTTTTTTGTCTGAACTAGATTTCCTACAGAGAGATTAAACAAGAAAAAGAGGGTTTAGAGACTTACCTGTAGGAAAAATCTTAGCAGGTATTTCCAGATCTGAACTTCAAAATAAAATCCCTTCTTTGTGTCCTCACATCACCGCGATTTCAAAGAGCAAGGAAAGCAGCGGTGACGATCGTCATTCAACAGTTTTCAGACACAGGCGTTTGTTTATTTGACTTTTTTACTGTGTAACATCTAGGCCACTCCTTTATTTGTGCCTCATCCTGGAAACAAGTCATACTGGATCCTGTAACAAGGTCCACAGACATACACACACACTCACACATACACACATACACACATTCACTGGTTACCATTTAGACTTTGTTCTGAGAACTGATAACACACACACACTCACTCCCTCTCACACATTGCTTCGACTGATATGTCCTCATAAAACACTCGACAAGTAAAAAGAGACCTCTGCTGCCCTCTGAAGTTTTTCATTCTCAGTCTTGAAACTCGAATCAGACGATCTGCTCCTCACTCTGTGCTCGTACAGTCATCTCTAATGGAGAAAATAATAAAGGAGTCACTCAAAGAATAGAAATATTTGATTAAATCATTATATAATGTATTCATAAAATATGTAAAGATATATCGTAAACAATTATTAATGTTGTGTGTGAATATCTCCAGTAAAAGCTGGGTGTACATTTGAGTTAAGATCATTTTAAAGATGTTTTAATACATTACATTCATTGTTTTTTCCAATTCAAAGGAATTGGAAATCAAGTTCACTGATGTTAGGAAAAGAGAGAAACAAACAGTTATATGAAAAGGAAATAAATTAGACTTTAAAGGAGATCTTTGGATATAATTAAGGATGGGAACTTATAAAGCATTGAATGGTTTAGGCCCAAAATACATTTCTGACCTCCTGCTAAATTATGAGTCAGAACTAAACATGGAGAAGCCGCGTTCAATTATTATGCTCCGAATATCTGGAACAAACTCCCAGAAACCTGCCGGTCCGCTGCAACTCTGACTACTTTTAAATCCAGGCTGAAGACTTTTCTTTTTGCCGCTGCTTTTAATTGATATATTCATATCTTAAACTGCACTGTAAGTTTTATTATCTTTGCTTTTTAATGCCATTTTCTTAATGTCTTTCATTTTTGTAAAGCACTTTGAATTGCCTTGTGTTGAGTCCCCCCAAAGGTAGTTAAAGTCCCCTCGTAGGTGGTTAAAGTCCCCTACAGTACGTGTGCCGTTTTGGTTTCAAGACCCTGGTTCGCGGAGGACACCAAAAAAGTCCTAGAAAAGACAAGTTAAACTTAACTAATGTGCATTTAAAGAAAAGAGGAATAGTTTTGGCGAAAACTAAAAGGTACCATGGGGTACACGCAGTGGTCGCCAACCAGTCGATCGCGATCGACCGGTCGGCCGCGAGTGTGGTGCGGGTAGATCGCGGACCGTTAAAAAAAAAAGTAACAAAAGAAAGAAAAATGTAATTAAAATAATAATGTTTGAAAAATACGTTTTAACTAAAAGGTACCATGGGGTCAGATTATAATTTTCCAAAGGGGGGTTCGTTTAGCATGAAACACTTGAAATAACTAAAGGACAAGTTAAACAAGAAAGTAGAAAGAAAGGTAGGTGATAGAAAACTATTTCTGCTAAAAAGATATCAATGATTGAGAGTCAGTGCTAAACATTTCAGGTGTGTGTATCTCACACTGCACTGTAACTTTAATTCATGTATCTTTGCTTTTAAATGAGTGTTTTTAAATGCCATTTTATATATATGTTTCTTAATGCTATTAATGTCTTTCACTTTTGTAAAGCACTTTGAATTGCCTTGTGTTGAAATGTGCTATATACTAGGGCTGTGCAATTAATCGTATTTTAATCGCGATTACGATTATGGCTTGCGACGATTATGAAAACAGCATAATTGACAAAATACGATTATTTTGCTGGGTGCGCTTTCGCCCCTCCCTAAAAGCCCACTCGGCCACGTGGGAGTGACATGTGTTGTGAGTGTTCAGCGCGAGCGAAGATGTCAGAACAAGAGCAGCAACTCGTTAAAAAGAAGGGTCAAACTATTTCCACTATTTGGCTTTCAGGAGTCCGACGTGGAGCAAAATAAAGTACAGTGCAGGATTTGTTACCAGATTGTGTTGGCACCACACGCTAACACAACCAATCTCTTTAATCATCTGAAATACAACCACAAAGTGCAATACGACCGGGGCGATAATACAACAAAAGCAGATGCCGCTCGACTTCACAGTCATCGATTCAGGACGCATTGTACAGAGCAACGGCCTACGCGACGAGCTCGCAGAGACACAGAGATATTACAGGTGCCATTACATTTCACATCGCTAAAGATAGTTAGCACTGTTAGCAACCAGGGCTTTAAGCAACTTGTCAACCAACACGTTGGACAAGCGTTACGCGATGCCGTCTCGGTATTATTTCAGCAGGTCTGCGCTGCCTGCACTATATGACAAATGCCGTGGGGAAGTTGAGAGAGATGTGGCTTCAGCTGACTACTTTGCTACCACAACAGACCTATGGTCTAGCCCAGGGGTGCCCAACCAGTCGATCGCGAGATGTGTCTAAAAATAGAACAACAATATTCTGTTTTATATCCTGTAACATAATCTTCCTGTGCCAGAATAATGTACTTGAACGCATCAAAGCTTTGTGATTGGCCGGCGTCACCCCATGTGTCGGGGCGTGGCTGAGGGTCTTCAGTACAGGTGGCAATATTGTCACCTGCCTGCGCTCATCTCTGAAACCAGACCATGTAAACAGGCTGGTATTTCTTGCAAAACATCTTTAAGAGATGACATGAGCAGCCCTACCAGCATTTGCCATGGTGGCCTAAACATTTTTATTTGGTCTTAAATTGTAGTTCAACATTTATTTCCTGTTACTTCTGGACCATGACGGTTGGCCAGCCTTCAACGTTTAACTGAGTGGAATATGTTGAATATGTTTTACCAAAATGTTGGCTATATGTTAAGGAGTTTTCAGTAGGTTGTGACAGTGCACTGCAACATATTGGATTTAATTTATTTTGGTCTCATTTATTTTTATTTATCATATTAATATATGTTTAGTATGGTTTTGGAAGTGCGCTCCAACATATTTGTTGATCTTGTTTATTGGTAAAATATTATTTGTTTTAAAGTTCAATAAATGGTCAATGAATAATCGTCAAAATAATCGTGATATCAATTATTGACCCAAATAATCGTGATTATGATTTTTGCCATAATCGCACAGCCCTACTATATACATAAACATGCCTTGCCTTGCCTATAACACATGTAATATCATGATGGTCTGATACATATAAACAGAATGCTGAACAAATTTCAGTTTCAGGGAAAGTTGAAAGAGCACTCTTGTGTTCTGTTTCAAAAAGAGGGCTCAAGTTTAAAACCAATTAAACATTTTGGTTGATTAAAAAAGCCACTGGTTAAAGGTGGGGTAGGTAAGTTTGAGAAACCGGCTCGAGATACACTTTGTGTTATATGCCATGGAATGCTCTTAACATCCCGATAGCAATGAATATCTTAAGTGCTTTGACAAAAAATCCATAAAACATGTAATCAGTGGAAGCCGTAGCACTGTAAAAAGCACGACCAATCATCTGAGCCGGCCCGGCTAAAGTAACTGGATGGCCTACCTGCCTGTCAGCCTTCCATCTCGTGCACAAACTTATCTCGTGCCCTCATTGGTCATGTGTGCGTTCGTGTGTGTTGGAGGAGGGGCTCTGTAAGGAAGTGGAAGATTTTTTCCGGCTGTGTATTTTCAAATTCTAGCGCACTCGAGCTGGTTTCTCCAAAATTACATACCCCACCTTTAAGATGAATTTCAAATTAACTTCACAATATTTATCACGCTGTAGTTTGCTTTGTTGTTACTTATTGCGTTGTAACTATGTATAATGTATGTGTTTATTGTATTAGGTCTGTACAGTATATTCAATGCACACATTCTTTAGTTTAATTGGTATAATTGTTGTTATACTTCACTATACTTAACATTTATATTAATAGACATACCAACTACAGTCTCAAAATTATCATACATTTGAGTGCTCACCTCTTGACAGTTTTAACAAAAACAATATAACCCTTATGAAGTAAGCTATTTTAGCAGCATTGTTGTATTAGACAAAATCAGATTTTAGCCCTAATGAATTGATTGTGTTTCTCTATTTCTCCCACACCATTAGAAACTTGCATGACAGTGCGAGTAATCTTTAAAATTCATCAATATTTGAAATGCAAAGTGTTCTAAAAGTTAAAAAAATTCCTGCAACAAGTACATGAAAGTGTCTATAAAGTGACTAAATGGTTGTGTGTTTGCAGTCGTACCGTTGGAGTGCACACGTTCCTCAGTGAGAATCCCAGTGAGTGTGAAGAGGGCGAACACGAGGAGAGAGAACCCGATCGTCAGCACCTCCAGCTCAGTGAACGGAGAGGCCATCTACACCATCTGCAGCTGGGAACGCTCCATCTGTGAGTTCAGCACCCGGCACTGCACACTGAATCAAAAAGATTATTATTGAACACTTACCCAGAGTGTGTTACTGGAGCGTTAAGATGCTGGCCATCACACTGCAGCTTCGTGACACACACACACACACACACACACACACACACACACACACACACACACACACACACACACACACACACACACACACACACACACACCACACACACACACACACACACACACACACACACACACTAACCCTCTCTCTCTTTGTCAAACACTTGGTTGAGCTGTGAAAAGCGGACTAACACATCCCTTCTCATGTTCAAGTGAGATCATATGTCCCTTATTATTAATGATGTGTGTGTGTACACAAAATGTACACATTTATTGATTTTAAGTGATTGCTTCCAGGTGGAGATTTTGTTGAGGTGGAAAGTGGGTGATCTTCTATATGCCCACATTCTTTTCTGAAACTTCTCACAGAAGATCAAGTGGCTTTCTAGCTTTCCTGTTTCAATGGAACAGATCTTTGTCTTTCTGAAACCCTCTACTATCTTCTAAACCAGTGATTCTCAAATGGGGGTACGCGGACTCCTGGGGGTACGTTGGGGTACTGCAGGGGGTACGTGAGATTTAAAAAAAAAAAAAAAAAAAAAAAGGTTAATTAAAAAAATAATCTTAGTAAAATAAGTTAAATAGAAAATACAATTTTATATAAAAAATTCCTAGAACCACCAAGGTGGTCCTCATATAAAAATGTGTGTATTGTATTTTATAGTTTTTCACAATTACTTAAATTGAAAAACTCCTTGGAAAAATCTGTTTTATAAAAGTGTTATGTTATTTTTTTTCATGCATAAAATGAAAATATCCTTAGTTTGTTGTAATGCATACCACGAAGGAGTTAATAAATCAAACACTGAGGGAACATCACTATATTGTAATTATTTATATAGGCTTTTTCGATCAAAAATGTTCGGGATCGGTCAGGGGGTACTTGGCTGAGAAAATGTTTCAAAGGGGGTACATTACTGAAAAAAGTTTGAGAAGCACTGATCTAAATAACCACACCTTCCCTAAATGCATGTTAAAAATAATTGCAATCCACAATTGTTGATTGTCTACTGTAGCACTCAGTTGTTTTTTAAAACAAGAGACCACAAAACAAGTGTGTTAGGACTTCCCCATGTGTGTGTGTGTGTGTGTGTGTGTGTGTGTGTGTGTGTATCTGTGTGTGTGTGTGTGTCTGTATCTATCTGTGTGTGTGTGTGTGTGTGTCTGTGTGTGTCTGTGTGTGTCTGTATCTATCTGTGTGTGTGTGTGTGTGTGTGTGTGTGTGTGTGTGTCTGTGTGTGTCTGTGTGTGTCTGTGTGTCTGTGTGTCTGTGTGTGTCTGTGTGTGTGTGTTAGAGATATAAGGGAAGTGGTGGGTATGAGAGGCCGTCTAGCTCACCACTCATACTTGGTCTTACAAACAATATCAGAATCTCACATGTACACCACCAGATTCTTTCACAAACAGTATCATACCGTCTTTAACGTACTGTCATTCCTTCTTCATTTACTATCATACTATCATACATAAATAACTATTCTCTCTCACACACAAAAACAAAATCTCTTAAACGCACCATCATACTCTCGTACACACACCACTATCGTCTTTCACAAACAACTATAATCTAATAGAACATTATAATAGTGTATGTGAAAGAGGATGGTACTATGTGTGTAATCGGTAAACAATGTATGTAAAACAGAATAATAACCTATACAAGAAGGAATAGTATTTCATGTTAATAACAATAGTCATATATGTAAAACAGAATAGCAGTGAATGAAAGGCCGAATAATAGCTTATATGAGAGGTAATAATAGTTAATGTGAATGACTATAGGCCTATATGTATGTGTATAAAACAGAATGATAGGGTATGTGGATAAGAATAGTTATGAGTGTGAGAGAGTATGATTGAAAAGGAAGTGAGTTTGATTGAAAAGGAAATTGGACTAAATTCTCAGTTCTCTTCTGATTGGCTCTACGTTTTTCGTTTGACGGACACCGTCCAAGAAAGGCAGTAGACTAGGCTGCCACTAATTCTCCCTATGCAACCTGAAGAGTAAAAGGGTCAAGTCCGTCAGAAAGCAATGACTGTAAGTCTAAGCCTTACACATACAATGTAAGGATTAGTATCATGTATTGTGTTTATGTGGTGACATTTGGAGATGTTTAAACTCAATGACAAAATGCGCCTCCCCTCTCTCCGGCAGAAACAGGAAATGCCGTAACTGTATGTAACAACGGTTTCAAATCAGCATCTCTTAGACAAAAAATGTAAATTAATAACTCAAATAAAACTCCAAATGTTGTGGAATATTTTCCAAGGCCCATAACTTTGACCCAGTTTATCAGTTCAAACTGTCCTGACTGAGCACACGCACCTTGTAACCTTGGCTGCTGTGCTCAGTGTTCTGTCTCCCTGTTCCTTCCTGTTGGCGTCAGCTGATAGAGGTGTTATGATTCTATGTTCCTGCCTGTTGACGTCAGCTGATAGAGGTGTTATGATTTTATCTTGTTATGCAGCAGTTTGATGATGCTCTCAGAACTAGTTAAATACATGGGTCTGAGGTAGAGTTCTTTAGAATTGACGTGGCAACTCTACCGTGAAGTCAGAACCTCTGGCTCTTGGACTTGTGATGTGAATCTCTCCGGCCGAAACTCCAAATAAACCATCAGTGTTTGACATCAAAGCTCCTGCTCCACCGTGTCTCCTTCCTGAGTCGGTGACTCCCACTGCATTGCTACACAGAAGTTTCCCTTACACCAAACATCTTTAATTGTGTTACTTTTTTGTAAAACTCTTTTAGTTTTAAACCTGATGTTTATAAGCTTCTTAGTTTTTGCAACAGTCTGTAAATATACACAACTTTATAATAAAATGCACACATTTACCTTTTTCTAGACTAAACACAGATGATCCTAAGTTAAAAACATATGAGGTTATCATGAGGTTGTTAACATCGCAGTTTATCAGTGGATGTTTGCTGGAACTACTTGTTAACAGCTTATTTCCTGACGGACACACACAGCGTTGAGACCGGTCAGGTAGAGACCGCTCTCAAGTCAGCACTGATCAGTGGCGGTTCTACGGGGTGGCACGGGGTGGCAGCTGCCACCTCAGAAAAATGCCTTGCCACCCCAGTTGGCATCTTTGTTTTGAAAGAAAAGTTGTGGCTCATCGGACATTTATGAGAGAAAATCTCTAATGTCCGAGTGCAAGTGAATGCAGCACAAGACGCGAGCCTTGCCGATTTCATTTGAACGGAGGGACAGCGCAAAACGAGAAGCATTTCGGATCCAAGTACACAGAAGGAATGAGGTATTTGCTGTCTACAATGACAGAGAAGAGCCTGTCAAGTGTGGCTGTACTCAGCATTGAATCAAAACGCACCATAGCTTTAAATCTTAATAAGTTTGTGAGGCGTTTTTGCTGATCAAGATGGTAATCGCCACATTCAGCTGTTATAGACATGCCAACTTGATGCTCTGCTCACGGATGAGTCGATGAGAATAATAAACTGTTAAGATGATGACCTTACGTGTGTAAACATATTTTTTTCTTTGTTGGGGTCTGCCCCCAAAAAACAGTTTCAAGTCCTGAGAAAGTCAAATAAGATGGTATGTAAAACTACACTGCCCAGCCAAAAGAAAGTAGGCCTAACCACTTTGATTTAACTAGGCCAGTAGGTAAGGGCTTTCCACTGGATAATAACTGCAGCGATGTTTATATTTTAGCTGAATAAACGTTTTTTAACCCTAACTGATGCAGTTAGTCACTTCTTTAATGTTTGTTCTTTCTGATCTAAAGTCAAGGTTGTAACTGTTTGCAATGAAGTTGTGACGCGCTGAACTGTTCTTTTTATTATTTTGATTTATGATAGTAATTACTTGTCTTTCAAATTTGAAGGAGGGTGAGCAAGCATCTTGAGGAACATTCATCATTAACTCCTCCAAAAAATATAGTTTATTTAATAATAACACTGAATATGTGAATCATAACAGTGATTGACAGCTGATAGGAATAATATGATTGTTAATATTATCATATTCATACAGACAAACATTGATGAGACAGTTAATTCATGTACTTATTGCAGCAGTCTGCATAGATTGGTACCCCTGCTGGTCTAAGAGTGAGACAAACTCATTCAGTTATTGTTCAGTTAAAATGCATTAAATTATGTCTGCCACCTTATATATTTATATTTAAGGCTTTACTGATGTGCCACAATAATGTCACCTATGTTATTGAGTTAAAATATCAATATTGTGGCTTTCCAAGTTAACATTGATTGATATGACTGTGATTAAATCAACATATATTTCTGCCAGGGGATGCCACCCCTGAAATTCTCCTGCCACCCTCTTGCCACCCCATGAATAGTTTTCTAGATCCGCCTCTGGCACCGATGCAGACTCGCTGTTTGAGGGCTTGATAGCCCACTCCCGCTCCACACTCGTTGGTTTGGAACAGCACTTAATATGGCGGACCCTCCGCGTGAACGCGCAAATGGAGGGGTAGGGTGTAGAACTATTAACAAAGCACTTATATACTAATAAAGGACTGGCTTATCTAAAGTCCCTCCATGCCCTTGCCCCCCAGTACCTATCGGACATCCTTCACCCACATGCCCCACCCCGGAACCTGCGGTCCTCAGACTCTGGCCTGCTTACCAATCCCCGCACCAAACTGCGAACCATCGGGGATAGAGCCTTCAGTGTGGCAGCCCCCACCCTCTGGAACGCTCTCCCTGCGGAGATTCGCAACATCCCCACACTCGACGCCTTCAAAAGGGCCCTCAAGTCCCATCTGTTTGCCAAGGCTTTCGGCCCCTAAATCGATCTGTTGTTTTGTCTGTCTGACTTTTGTTTTGTTATTTTTGTTTTTGCCCTATTACTTGTAAAGCGACCTTTGGTCCCTTGAAAGGCGCTATATAAATCCAACCTATTATATTATTATTATTATTATTTAGGAGCGGCATTTCAAAACAGTGCACAAACGCTTCGAGACGGAATTCCCTCCTAATTCTGCCCTACGCTGCCAAAAGGGGAGGGACCTGAAAGGACAGCTAAATGCACAGCAGTCCATTTTCACCAGGCCCAACAACGTTCTTGCAAAACACATGAAGTCTTTCAAAGACGGCAAAATTGTGAAAGAAGCTTTCCCTGGAGGCTGCCGACACGCTTTTGGGGGACAGTACAAATAACAGCATTTCAACAGGTTTTTGATATAATAAAAACTCAAGTTAGATACCGTTATTAATCAGCAGTAAGTTTTAGTTTGTTTGAACTTATTCATTATAATTATTGTACAAAATGGTATAAGAATGCAAACATTAAGATCTGTTGTTTAAATTGATTATAGTCTATTATCATTCAGGTTAAGAAACTAGTGTTGCTTGCATTCAATTTTAAAGGCATTTCTTTTTATACTCTACTAAAATGCAACAGAAAAAGGGTTTGATTCTATTAATTTTGTCTTATTATTGCACTTTGGCAGCAGATCTTCAGATCTGAGTTGTCTTATTAGTAAGCCTAATTTATACTTTTGTAGCAACACTATTTTTATATAATGGCAAAGAAAGGGTTCAGAGTCTTTTTTTTTCTTTCTGTGTCATATGTGGCAGCACTGTTCAATGTTTCTTGAAAACATTACCCACTGTAGTATGCAGCGACGTGCAGTCAGGGGAGGCAGGGGAGGCAGAGCCTCACCTGTCATACTCCAATGTAACGGAAAAACAACTAAAGAAAAACTGAATAGTAATAATAATAAAATGTCTCCACTGATCTGTGTTGTAAATGTGATTTATGTATGATTCCAATCGCTTTTTATAGTCAAAATCAGCAAATTTGTGAGCTCCGCTACAACTACGGGTAGCGATGAGAAGTGAGGCAGGGACGAGCTCTGCCTCTCGTAAGCCCACAGTAACTGGCTGGAGCGCGGGCACTTATTTTGTGAGCGCGCTCAAGCCATTTATCCGAGTATTATATCTGAAAGAGTCAGTGCCTCACCAGCCATGAACCTCACCGCACTTCACTGGTAGTATGTGACGTGTGAATAAACTCCAACTCTGTATCAACAACACTGTTGTGTAACTTCAGTTAAATACTTGTATGTGTGTGTGTAGATTAGAAAGAGGTAAGATAAAGGATCTGCAGTATTTTAATGAAGTATTAATCGTACAAAGGTCAGTTGTATACAAGTAGAAGTGTGTATTTACCTGGTAGTAGGCTGTCAGTAATGGCTACACCTCTCTATTTGGACTGGTAGATCTTGGCAGACTGGCAACTTTAAAAGTAGCTCTCGGTTCCAAAAAGGTTGGGCACCCCTGAGTGAGTGAGTGAGTGAGTGAGTGAGTGAGTGAGTGAGAGAGAGAGAGAGAGAGAGAGAGAGAGAGAGAGAGAGAGAGAGAGAGAGAGAAGCTAGCTGCACTAACAGATAAGGGAGCTGTTTGTTCCACAACAATTATTATAGTTATAAAAAAACAAGAGAATAAAGGAAAAACAGTTATAAAATACTATATGACAGTAAAACAAGAATGCAGTTTGAAAGGTGAGTGATTTGTAAAATATCCATAAAGAAAAAGAACATCTGATTATAGTTGTGTTTCATATGGATGTTGAGAGATGTATCCATAGCTCTCAAAGTGCACCAGATCGATGCTTTTAACTTCAATATTTAAAAAAAAATCTTCCCGGGGGAGCATGCCCATGGACCCCCCTAGCGGAGGTGAGGTCCGCTCCCCACTCGTAAAAAATAGCACTTTACGCCTGCTTATATGCCGTGAGCTGATTATCGAGCCTTCATTGTAACAGTTGCGGGTGTACTGTGTGTTTGCATGCATGTAGAACATTCCACTGTAGCCAAGGCCGGATTAGAACCTCAAGGGGCACTGAGCACTCATGGCCCCCCCCCCCCCAACCCACCTGCAGTCTGTTTGCAGGAGTTTTATCTGGCTCTGTGCTGACTAAAGCCCTAAACTGGATCAGCTCATCTCCTAATGACTTATCCAAGTCAGTAGGATATGATGAGGAGAGAATATTGGCCCGTCTGCGGAGATCAGTGTCATCACAGCACATGTCAAATAGGACTCCAAAGTGATCATTTATTTATATCATCCAGGCGTTTGCTAAGTCCTGAGAGCAACCTGTCAATAATTACATTGAATGTCTCAACCTGGAATTGTTTACAGCCAGTCAGTACCACCTCATGCTCCACTGTCTCGTCATCAAATACTCGCTAGCAACAACATCCTCCGTAACCGCCGCCACTGTTCCTTGTGGTTGTTGCTGGCCTATTTCGTCACTTTTTGCTTTTTTTAAAAAGCTATTTATTGTTGGCACATTTTTTAATGCAGCCACCACTCTCTCTTCTTTTTCTTTCTTTTCGCAGCCCTGCTGGGCGTTTGGCTACCGGCACCATACATTTTTTCTGCTCACGTGACAAAATGTGACATGAGTGAGGGTGGGGCTGTGATTCGGCTTTACACCGCCACCGCGTAGTAATAAAGTTGAGCGCATACATAGTGAGACCTACAGTACAGAGACGGTTTAGACAATTTAATTAATTATTAATTAATTAAGCTGTGTTATTTATAGCGAAGAGTGAGTGTCATTTAAAACAATGTATGATGAGTGAGGTTGTGCCCGAAAAAGAAAAAAAAATAATAAGAAGAAAAAAAGAATTTTTTTTTTTTTTTTTTCCATCTTGTCGCTGAGGGCTCTCTTTGCTCAAGGGCCCCTGGGCACTTGGGCCCAGGTTGCCCATATGGTTAATCCGGCCTTGACTGTATAGTCCCTGGTGCTCGCGCTTTTGTGCGTGCTCTATAGTGCCCCGTAATAGTGTTCACTGGAGTCCAGCACCTCAGAACCCCCACTCAAAATACCTTCCCGCGCCTCTGACACTTAGTGTAAATCTGTGTATGTTACACTTGCACGTATGAGATCATTAAGTGCCTTGTATCTTCTTTTTTATAGTTTCACTCCGATTTAATGTCAGTGGACTGCAAATAATTCAATAAAGGAGCATGGCTGCTCATTCCCTTGCTCTCAAAAGAGTTTGGCTTGCTGTTTAATCTATGTTCACACTGAGACAGTACAACACATAGAGATAACAGTACACCTATTGTGTAAGTGCATACAAGCAGGTCACACAGTATGATCACAAATAGATAAACTCTGTTAAAAATCTGTTTTTATTAAGAAGTATACAGGCTGCATGTGTTCTCAGCCTTGGAGAAACTTGACATGTTTTGGTACATGTGTCTGAACCCATGGGCGTCGCAGACATTATATGAGGATGGGACAAGTCCCCCCCACCTTTTAAAATGATTATTTTAGACCCCCCCCACTTTTACTATGCGGAAAGTCCGTGAATCGGTCTATCCACTCGCCACTCGTTGTAGAGCGCTGTGTCAGTGCTTCATTATCAAATCCATTCCACTTGCTTATTGTGAGAATGCCCATTCATCCATCCATCTTCTCCCGCTTATCCGTGGTCGGGTCGCGGGGGTAGCAGTTCCAGCAGAGAGCTCCAAACTTTCCTTTCCCTGGCGACATCAACCAGCTCTGACTGGGGGATCCCAAGGCGCTCCCAGGCCAGCGAAGAGATATAATCCCTCCACCTGGTCCTAGGTCTACCCCTTGGTCTCTTCCCAGCTGGATGAGAATGCCCAAATCAATGAAATTCCCTACCATGTTTTCACTGCTACTTTGTACCAAGGCAGATTCTCAGAGCTGTACACATGAGCCGTAGGCCTACACATGCTGCGTTTTTTGTGTAGCTGTGTCATTAGTTGTAAAATCATTTCCACGCTGCGAGGCTCCGGCGAACAGTTCACGAGCGTGCTCCACTAGCACCCGGATATAAGGCGCTGTTATTAAAGAGGTGAAGGGAGAGTCCTCTCCTGTCAGACTGAGAGGCTGATAACTACAGCTCAGTGAGGTAAAGGACTCTCTGAGTGTTTAGATAGTTCACTTTAGTCTAGTAGTGGCTCTCAAACGGTTTGGTAAACATTTATGTAAATAAGTATTTCCAAGGCACACCTTTATATGATCATTATAGTTGTAAAAAACAAGGGAATAACAGGTATGAAATAATTCCAACTCATACTATAGGACAGTAACACAAAAATACAGTTTAAAAGGGGAGTGATTTGTAAAATATGCATAAAGAAAAAGTAAATCTGTTTACAGTTCTGTTTCACATGGGTGTCCATAGATTTAGTCCCTCATGTTGCTCTCAAAGTGCAGCAGATTGATGCATTTAACTTCAACATTAAAAAAAAAAATCTTCCCCGGACCCCCCTAGAGGTGAGTTCCACCACCCGCCCTTGCTTGAAATTTGACGTGGTGTTTTCAAGGTTGGGAAAGTGCTTGAATTATGGGAATGGTGCTTGAAATTGAGATAAAGTGCTTGAAAATGTAAATGCTTTACTTTTACAATAAATTGCTATCTGACTGAATAGTTCGCTTTTTAGATTAAAAGAAAAATAATTGCTTCGCTTCTACATAAAACAGCTCCGCTGCACCTTTCCGCGCTATGCGCGCGACCTGCAAGTGTTTGTGTTATGTGTGAGCTGGGCATTCTGATGAGCGTGATAGATGACTGTGTGCCAGGAGGTTTCAACGAGCGTTGGCTAGCAGAAGACAAATACAAGCCATGGCTAAGACGAGGGTCAAGCCCACGAGTAGCCTCCTGCAAAGTTATGCAACATAACGACGGGAGAGTCTGCGCTGACGAGCCATGAAAGGTACGCCGTAGTTGAGCATTTTAGATTAGGCTAACGTTGCATGTTACGTTTGTTGAAGCTAACGTTAGCGAGCTGAATAGCGAACTCGATTGAGGGATAATAATAATAATTGCAGGGGACAATCATTTCAGAGGAGCGTACCTATGTTATGTGCGTTACAGTCGCCATCCTGTGGTGTTCAGAGGATGAAGCACTCACGGTATTTCGTGTTATAGTCACGAAATATAATCTATTGATTCGACACAGAGCGATTTTGAAAGCAATGTATTTCTACTGGTATTATGTTTCGTGCCTAAACCAAATGTGACTTGCTCTATCGAAATCAGTCACATTGACACGAAGACACATTTTCGTTTGTATTACTGGTCTGGGGGAAGCTGTGTGGTCTGTGTGTTTGTGTATTTTTGCGTTTGTGTACCGGGGAAACACTCACAAGAAACACCGACTGTTGCTTGCTGTGACGTTACATTAGTCCGTTCTCTGCTTGTAATTATGCCGAAGCTTCAAAGTTGTATTTATCATCTACATTTGCCGAAACAAGTTTAATATTCTGAAAGCCAATACTTTGTTTATTTGAAAACATGAAAACAAACTGTCTTTTATATAAAATTGAAGTATTATACAAGTAAAACTACATGTTGCTTTAATCCCATGTAATTGTAGAATTAACACAGTCTTCCTTTGCAGATGTCTAAGTCAGGTGTCTTGAGTAGTCAAAATTACCTACAAATCATTGTACACATTTGTACATATTATTTTCCACTTGTTACCATTGTGAGTCTATTTTTATGCAGCTCTGCGTGATTTTGTGGCTACAATTCAGGCTAATACACTACTAGAGGTGGAATAAGTACTCAGATATTGTACTTGAGTAAAAGTACATGTACTCAGATCTTGTAGTGAAATTATAAGTACTCAGATATTGTGCTTGAGTAAAAGTTGAAGTACTCAGGTCTTGTACTTGAGTAAAAGTTGAAGTACTCAGATCTTGTACTTGAGTAAAAGTAGAAGTACCAGAGTGTAGGAATACTCTGTTACAGTAAAAGTCCTGCATTCAAAATGTTCCTCAAGTAAAAGTAGAAAAGTATTCTCATCAAAATATAGTGAAAGTAGCGACAGTAAAAGTAGTCATTGTGCAGATTGGTCCATTTCAGAATAATATATATGATGTGTTTTATAATGATTGATCATGAAAGTGTTCTCAAAGCTGGTGAAGGTGCAGCTAGTTTGAATGACTTTGTATACTGCAGGGTAGCTTGTGGATTTACTCCAGGTGGAACTAAAGTCTGATTTAACACTTGATTAGATTTCACATCATTCATCCACATCTGTGAAGTAACTAAAGGTATTAAATACATGTAGTGGAGGAAAAGTACACCATGTACCTCTGACTTGACTTGACTGCCAACCTAAAAGTACCTCAAAAATAGTAATCAATAATGTATTGAAAAGTTATTTGGCTGATTGTTTTATATTGGCTCAGACAGGTTATATGGGACATACAGATGGGTCACTCATTTTGAAATATTAA